TTATTTATTTATTTATTTTTTAAACAAGATCTTGCTGTCCTGAAACTCACTGTGTAGCCCAGGCTGGCTTCTCCTTCATAATCCTCCTATCTCAGCTTTGCTGAGAATTCCCTTTTTTTCTTTAGTAGCAGTTTTGGCTTGACAGTAAAATTGAGCAGAAACTTGAAATCATACAACATGTATGTAGAAACAATGATTTGTTTCAGTTACCTCTGTTTTCATAACTTACTACTTGTCTCTCTTTATCGCTAGGCAATATTCCATTTTCTAGATGTGCCATCTAGACTGACGTCTCTGTTGATTTCTATGTTTTGGCAATTATATAGAACCCTGGGAACATCTGTGTGTAATTTTGGGTGTGTGTCTAGGGCAGAGTCTCAACTGTGTTGCTCTGTCCATTTGAGAATTTACAGAGATCTAAGTGTTTGTGTTTCAGTCTCCTGAATGTTGAGATTAAAGGTGAATGTTACCATACTCAGCTCTGTGTAATTTTGTTGTGTGTGGATGTAGTTTTAAGTTCATTTGCATAAACACCAAGAAGCATGATTTCGAGATCCATGTTTAATTTTGTAAAGGATTACCAAACTGTCTTTCAAACCAGTAATGCCGTTTTACATTTCCACAGGCAGTTCATGAGCATTCCTCTTCTTCTAAACCATTGCCAGAATTGATGTTGCTCGTGTTTTGTAATAGGTGTGTAACGGTGTCTCATCATTTTTTAAAGTTGCCATTTCCTGAGATGAATTGAGCATCTTTTCATTTACCATGTATTTTCTTGTTTTTTAAAAATTTTTTAAATTTTTTTAAATTTTTACTTATTCACACAGGGGTTATAAACACAAAAAGGCAAAACGTGGGGAAGGGGATGGAGCGTGGGTGTTCAGGGAGGAGTACAGATCTCTTTCAGAGCATACCATGTATTTTCTTTGCAAAGGAGTCTTCTGAAGTTCACTCTGCCCATTTTGTGATCATTGTCCATTTTTTTCATTGTTGAGTGGTAAAAGTTTTTTTTTTTAAAGTGTATTTGAATAAGAATTCTTTATCAAATGTACTCTTTCCTTGTGGCTCGTCTTTTAATTTTTTTGACATTGTTGTTTGCAGAGCATACATACTTAATTTTAATTGCATTGTGCCTTTGGTGTTCTATCTAAACAGCTGTCATATCCAAGGCATTCTAGGTATTCTCCTGTAATATCTTCACAGTGGTTTTAGTCTTACATTTTACATTTTGTGCCCTTTTCATTCTGATTTTCTAGAATGGATATGGTTCCATTTATCTCATTGACTTATCTTTTTGCTTAGATTATATCTTTTATAAGAGATAAGAGGTTGTCAGTTTTAGCTTTTTTCTGAGTATTGCTCTGAAGTTATAAAACAATGGTGTTTTTTTCTAATTCAATCAGTCTTGTATGATTATTATATGACATTCTAGTCTATAAAATCTTTCTCTTGTTGGAGAATTAAGTAGGGGTATTTAGAAGATGAAATGCTCTGATTTATTTATTTATTTTTTAAAAAGGGAGTCTGGCCTCTCCAGTGAGTGCATTAAAGAACATAAAGAGTAGAAGGTGGTTCAGTAGTCGGCAGTCCAAGCTGGAGAATATACTTAGATCATCATTGAAGTGAGGGGAGGGGACATGAACACATGAGAAGAGGACACATTTTAGGTGTATGTTGGTTGTACATATAATAGAATTTGCTAATCAGTGGAATGTAGGCTAAACAAGAAAGGACACCAAAGATGTCTAAGGTTTTTTTGATCCCAGCAGGTCACATGTGGCACTGCTGTTTATTAAAATAAAGATGGAAGCTGGAGGCATGTGACAGTTTGAATTTAGACATGTTGAATTTGTGATACCATCCCAGAGAGATGTCAGATAAGACAGGTTTAGAGCAGTGAATGGTGTAAAGCTATGGTACAGCTCATCAGGAAAGAGAATGTGGTAGGGGAAATAGAACAAAGCCTTGAGATTGGGGAAGTAAAAAGGAACAGGAAGAGGAGACAGCTTGAAGGCTAGTGAGGTTAGACACAGCCAGGAGGGCTTTTGTGTTAGCTGCCAAATGCAAAAAGGTGTTCAGTGAGGAAGGAGTTAATGCTGATATATTGAATAAGGTGAGCTAAAGCTGAGCCATTGGGTTTAAAAATAACACCGATGACCATGATAGACAATCTCAGTGGGTTCTTCATCAAACCGAGGAAAAGGAAGAATTGGGGGTAGGAGTTTCACTGTAAAGAGAAGGGAAATACACCAGAGGGATGTAGAGGCAGGTTTTAAAAGGTCAGATACACCACAGTATTCTCATCAGCATGTGAACAGTTACAGCTTTGCTGGTTTGTGTGTCTTCCTGTGCTTGGGTTGATTCGAAGATTGGTGAAGGTCTTCAGGATATAGAATTGAGTCAGTTAATGCTATCTTAATAAAGTTTAGCATCCTTGCCATAGCGTGTTTACTAGAGCTTTTGACAGCAAAGTTAACTAATTTTCTTTTATTCTTGATGCTACTATATTAGAGTGCATTCAGGAATTATTGCAGTGGTACAGAATCAGGCAGCATGGATGAATGCTTTACTGTGGAGTAGACTTAAATTAGTCGAACAAGATACAGTGACAGGTTTTCACTGAAAGAAGTGAGTAATTGATTATTATTAATTCTATGTTAGTGACCTGTGAATGATTTCTTATTTTAAAGTGATTTTGTCTTTATAATGCACAGAGAATGAACTTTCATCTGAGACCTATGATTTTGAACGGGACCTCTTGCTATTAGAGGACTAAATTTAGTTAAATTTCTTTATCCCTGATTATTATTATTATTTTTTCCAAGACAGGGTTTCTTTGTTTAGCCTTGGCTGACTACAACTTGCTCTGCTGGCCTCAAACTCACAGAGATCTACTTGCCTCTGCCCCCAACCTCCCACTCCCAAGGGCTGGAATTAAAGGCATGTGCCACCATGCTCAGCTTCAGCCCTGATTCTTGATTTAACAATTATTTTACATTTACCCAGGTGGTGGTGGCACATGCTTTTAATCCCAGCCCTTGGGAGGCAGAGGCAAACAGATCTCTGAGTTTGAGGCCAGCCTGGTCTACAGAGCAAATTCTAGGATAGTCAGGGCAAATGGAGAAACCCTGTCTTAAAAAACTAAAACAAAACAAAAAACTAAAAGTTTTAGATTTATATATTTATTATTATTTGTTTGTGTATATATACGTGCTACACATGCTACAGCACACATGAAAATGAGAGGATAACTCATACTACCATGTGGATTCCAAGGTTTGAATGCAGGTCATCAGGCTTGGTGGCAATACCACTACCTACTGAGCCACCCTACTTCTTGTTTTTTTCCCCTAACCTGTAAAATGGAGCTGGTAATACTTACTTCATAGAATGTGTGAGGATTACGTGAAGAAATGTATAGATTATCCCAGAAATGAGTTATATAGTGTGTCTTAGTGTTTTAGTGCGGTGAAGAGACACCATGACTCTTATAAAGGACAACATTTATTTGGCGCTAGCTTACAGGTTCAGAGGTTCAGTTCATTATCAAGGCAAGGAAAAGCACGGCAGCATCCAGGTAGGCCTGGCTCTGGAGAAGGAGCTGAGAGTTCTACATCGTGCTCTGTAGGAAACAGAATACGACTGGCGTCCTCAGGCAGCAAGGAGAGGCTCTCTCAATGCCCAAACCCATATTGACACACTTCCTCCAACAGGGCCATGTCTCCTAATAGTACCACTTCCTGGGCCAGGCATATTCAAACCACCACCAAATGGTGTCTAGTGAAGTTTCTTTTCATCCTTTCTATTGAAGGTGAAGTTTGATTTCAGTTTTGCTCTTTTTGTAGTTTTTAACTAAAATCTCCAATTATATTAAAAATGAATAAAGCTTGGTGATACTGATCTATGATCTATGATGTAAGTCATATGATAGCTTTGCATAGAGGCAAAATTAAGGATACATGTGAATACATACATAATGAGAGGAAGCAGATTTCTTATGACTTTTACTGATGAAATAAATTTTTAATAATATTTGAACACAGTATAGGCCTACTAATGAGAAGAAAAAGAATTCTTTCCTGAGTCATAACATTCTGCTTAGTCGGGGTTCACGATTAGTGTTCTATCAGATTAATTGCAGTATGTTCATTTATAAAACAGATTCTTCTTAGTTCCTGGGCTATTTCAAAATGGGCAGGCTAGATTTGGCATTCAGACCATATTTCTTGTAACCCAGATATGCAAGGTTATTTTATGTATATAGTTGACACTTTTTATTTTTCTCAGAAAAAAGTGACTTTCCAGTATTTTTTATAAGCAGAGTTTGTGTTTCCTTTGAAATTCTTACAAGCTGAGTTTGTGTGTGTTTCTTTTGAAATACTACTAATATGCAAATTGTATAATTGTTTTTTCCATAATATTTAAAATTTTTCAATTTTTTTAAGTCAGTTAATAGTTTCTGGTGTCCTTCCCCACTTTTCTTCAGTGATAGTCTGTGTAGCCATCATAACTACATTTATAGTTTCTTTAGCCCTGACACCTAAACATGGAAATATGAATCTTCACTTTATTCTCAGATGAACTTAAAATTGTGATTTTTGTCTTTTGTTTTTATTTCTAGATCAGCCAGCATTACTAATCTGTCACTGGATCGGTCTGGTTCTCCTATGGTTCCTTCATATGAGTCATCTGTCAGTCCCCAGGCTAACAGAAACTACATTAGGACAGAGACTACTGAGGATGAACGCAAAATTCTTCTGGTACCAGTCCAGCATCTAACTTGTTGCTAGTTTTGAACGTAAAGAATGCTGACTTTTTATTCCCTTAAAGACACACATACATAAGAGCGTCAGCTGGGCTTGGTGTTTATGCCTGTAAAACAAACTGGGAAGGCTAAGGCAGGAGAATCTTGTGTTTAAGACCAATTTGAGCTAAGTGGGATGTTGTCCTAAAAAAAAAAAAAGTATATCAATTAAACAGGGAAATCATTAGCTTAATCTTTTTACTAGCGTATTTTTTTCCTATACTCACTCCATTACTATTTCTTTCATTTGTCAAAATCAGAATTTATCTACAATTGAACTAGAAGTTAGATTGTTGTTTTCTTAACCTTTGAAACTTAATGATAACTATGTTTATATGACATAATAATTGACTCTTTCCTCAGTTTATGTGTATGAAAAACATTAGCCTAATTCTAAGACCAACTCAAAGAAATGAAAAATAAGTCTTTTGTTCTAAAGGTTATAATTCAAAAGGCAGAAGTAAGATCAATGGAAAGATTCTTACAAGTGAAAGAATTGATATTTTATTTTATAAGTTTATTTTGTTGTTTTTGAGACATAGCCTCTCTATGTAGCCCTGCTTCTCTCTATGTAGACCATGCTGTTCTTGAACTCACAACTCCCTCACGTGCCTCTGCCTCCCAAGTACTGCGATTAAAAGGCATGTACCACTATGCCCGGCTTTGAAGTAATATTTTAATAATAAAAATGTGTAAAATGTATGCCACAGCTTTATGTCATAGAGAAATAAAGTAAAAAGGTTGATAACAATGACGGAGTCAGGAAATTCCAAAGGCTGAAATTGGTTTCATTAGGCAGAATGTGAATCTTATTTAAAGATCTGACAAAAGGTGCAGATTTGGGGTCAAAGGATTTTCCATAGAAAGAAGTAGAATTTATTAGTTGTAACAGAGTTTAAGTTGGAATCTGTGGTCAGTTAGAATGGAAAGTTACTTGGGTCTACCTATTGGGACACAATACATTCAGTTTTTCTATTTACTGCTCTAGAGGTAGTGGGACCTGGTAGAATATACCCAATAATTGACTGTGTTATGATATCTCTGCTTTTTAAAGTTTTTTCAGCAGCAGGATATCCAGAATGGTTTTGATTTGAGATGTTATAGATAAATCTAGTTGTCATTAAGCATTGTTGTGTAATACTTAGTCACAAAGAACAGGGATCCAAAACCGTGTTCATTACTATTGGTTATATTATTATTTTGATCAGAAAAAATTAGAGAATAGCTTGAAAAGAGACCCTTATGAGTAGTAGTTCTGGTCTCTTGTAGAATATAAGGCCATATTATTTGCCCTTTAATAGGAGCACGGATGTTATGATGTCCTGTGCAAATAGGAAGTAATTTAAATACAAAAGGAAAATTAAATGCAGTCCCGTCTTCAGATGCATGAAGGAGTCTGTTATGGTCCCAAGGTCAAAGCATGAACACAGAGTCGTTAGTGAAGGTAACCCAAACTGGATCTGTCTAAACTATTAGTTGAAACAAAGAGATTGAGGAACATAACATTTTCAGTGGCACTCACTGTAACGGGTCAAAGCAGATAGCACTGCCAGAAAGAGATTCTCAGGTGACATAGGGCTCTGTGTAAAATAAGTTCTCCCTTGGTACTAGGGCCTAACCTGGGCCCAGGTGGGCAGACTTCTGATGATGTGGCCAATACCCTTTTGCCCTTTAGCTGGAGGTTTTCTATCTTTCTGGTGACTCTCATTGTCTCTTTGCCTTCAGCTGTTGTCCTTGATGGCCTGGGGCCAGGGGAGCTAAAGAGGAATCCATAATATTTTAATAGCTCCATCTGCAATGACAGATGTATATCCCTTCCCAATTAGCTTTATTTCTTCAGCAATAAGACCAGGGAGGTTAGAATGTGCCTGAGTAATACACAAAAGATGTATATCTTTTGTTTGAACTGGATGTTGTAGTTCCTATAGTAATGAAAGCGTAACAGAATGTGAAGACGAAATTAAAGCAGTTTCTACTGCTGGAAATAATCCTACAACATCAGATCAGTCAGTTGTACCAGGGCTGAAGAAAAAGAAGTATTAAACAGTGACTATCCAGACCATTACTCTAGACCCATAGATGAGCCATTAATAAAATAAGTATCTGTCAGTAGAATGAGAGAAGAGTGGACAGATTTTGTAATCACAAATTCAGTCTGTATGAGAAAACTTATAGCTTACCAGCTGGATAATAACTTCCTATCTTTCTCTAATAATCTGCATATGGAATTTGACAAATCCATAGAGTTCTGTAATGCTCTTAAAAACTTATTGTTAGTTAAGGATAATATAATACATCAAGGATCAAATCCATATAATTGTTGACATTGGGCTCACCCTTGATTTTTTAATTGAGTAAGAATAAGGTAAGCAGTTAGTATTTTATGATCCCTAAGGTGTAAATAAATCCATTCCAAAGGTTTATTCTCTTGTGCTATAATACCTGTAGGAGACAATTTAATGGGGAAAATGAATAAGTTTAAAGGAAGTGAAGGACCCCATGATCCACAAATGCTTCTTTTAGTCAGGATTTAAGTAGCTGTAGTCTTTTCATGCCTCTCAAGATAAGATGCAAGGGCTGTCCAATGTCATATTATTCTAGAGTTTTAAGTAGATTTATTTATTCATGCATATAAACATTTTGATTTTGTTGAAATTACACTGGAAATTTCAAGTCCAGTCCATGAGGCTGAGAAAGAATTGGAAAACTGATTCCTTTTCACGGTCGTGCCCTAGCCTGCTTAGGTTATAAAGTTAGCATTTTTACATGGTTTCCTAAATCTTCACCAGGCAATGGAGGAAAAATAAGATTAGATTACCAAATTTCTCAACTCAAGCTTCAGGGTCATTTTCAGCCAATGGAGGCTATGTATCTTAAGGAGGCTCGTCACCAGCATAGTTCTCAGTGGCTCTGTTTTTACTTTCAGTTTTACCAGAACGAGGAAAATCTCCTTTTTTGCCTCTTTTACCAATGTTAAGGTTTGGACCTCTAGTTTATATTCATTCTTCCTCATGATTAATATCCTCCTTATCTTAATCATTTTTATAACAGTCTGGATTAATGTCCAAGTGACCCAACATTATTCAGTGATCTTTTCCCTGTGTTTGTATGCCATTAGTGTTCTTTGGATTCTGTCCCATGTTTCTTTATCTAAAATTCCTTCCGGAAACCAGAGACTATAGCTATAACTTGCAAGCAGTGATTTTAGTACTTGTGCTCCTCCTTTAAAAATGATGTACAAGCTTGATATAAGACAGCTTTTCCTGTGTTCTGCCCATTATTCTCACTCAGCTCCTTCTGTAAGGGTCCCTGCTCTCTTATCTCATAGCTGACTTCAGGTCCCTGTATTAGATACTACTTCTTTTCCACTCTAGCAGGCGGTGAGACCTGGGAGAATGGAGCTGATAAATGAGGTGGACTAAAGTCTCATGCAATAGCCAACTTTATTCAGAGCATCAGACAATATATAGTCTGAGGGTTAAGAGGAGTCACCTGAGTAAAATGTACAGTCACAAGAACAAGCTGCATGTGGAGGACAAGCCACATATGGCAAAGTCTATTTTTTCATTGAGGCATATAAATAACCATAGCCTGTTGTAATAAATAAACTCACTTCTATCTGCTACACCTGGGAGGAGCATGAAAACACATTCCAGGAACAATTCCATGTTTTTGAAGAAACTGCTGTCACAAGGCTTGTGTTTTGTTTTCTTGGAGTTTTCTCACAAACACTCAGAATTCTCACACAGCTCCAATTTTGGACTGTGTCCCAACATCTATTCTTACAAGTTTAGGTTTGAGGAACATTGTTGTAAGTTTTCTGGGGTAGGAAATTATTCAACAAAGACTTTCTTAAGAAACATTTACTGAGCAGTTGAGAATAGGGGAGGATGCCTAGAATCTGTGCAGTGTGGACTGCTATAATTATCTTAGGGTCACATAGTGATTATTATCTTTGTCTTCCTTGACTTGTCTCCAAAGAAGAATTTTATATTGCATATAACTAAGAGACCTATAATATGTGCCATCGACTGGAAAAAAAAAAGAATGCTGGAATTAATGAGTCAAATTCAGTTGTCTCCATGTATGTGCCATTTATATTTAACTTATCACAGTTAGCTACTGTGAAGAAATCCAAATTAAGATTCTTTTAAGATCTTAGAACCATAGGACAGTGTCTGAACAGAGCACAGCATCCCTCTTGGGGTAACTCGTTGCTTTTGATGTGATTGTAGGACAGTGCTCAGTTGAAGGATCTGTGGAAGAAAATCTGCCATCACACCAGTGGGATGGAATTTCAGGATCACCGTTACTGGTTGAGAACACATCCCAACTGCATTGTAGGAAAGGAATTAGTCAATTGGCTAATCAGAAATGGACACATTGCTACAAGGTATTTTAATTTCAAAATGTTTTGAAATTATTCATTAGTTAATATTTAATGATTAGTATGTATATTTGAAGATGTAAAGGTAACATCCTTTTGTGAGTTAGGGTGCTGTTTTAGGAATTGGATGGTTTGGGGGAACTAGCTCTTTAACTTTATTTGGTGAGAATGTAAGGAGGCAGATTTGGATCACGGTTTACCACATTAAAAACAAGGACTGGTGGCTAGTGAGATGAATCAGTGAGTAAAGGCTCTTGTCCTGAAGCCTGATGACCTCAGTTGGATTTTCAGAACCCATATGCTATAGGAGGAGGTAAAGCATCTATGGAAAAAACTAGGTCCAGCAGCACATTCCTGGAGAGGCAGAGGACAGAGGTTCAGCTTGCTGGTGACCTAGTCTTAAGTGTAGTTGGAGAACTCCAATTTCAGTGAGAGACCCTGTCTCAAATATAAAAGTGGAGATCAATTGAGGAAGACCCTCCATATTCTCTGTCTTCCACATATGGGCGCCTGTATGTACACAGACACACATAACATTGCAGTAATTCTTCAAATGGATCCCTAGTTCTTTGACTAGAAATGATAAAAAAAAAATATGAAGGGGTGTTTTATCATGTGCCTACACAGTTCCTCCACATAACCTTTTAAAATTTCAATTTTCTTGGTCTTGATTTAGGGCACAAGCTATAGCAATTGGACAAGCAATGGTTGATGGACGTTGGTTGGATTGTGTCAGTCATCATGACCAGCTTTTCAGGGACGAGTATGCATTGTATAGACCACTGCAGGTAAGCTTGTAGTAATACTGCCGATGAGAACGGTAGTAGCTTATTTTGAAGTTGTGTTTTCATTGATGGGAATAAAAAGTAGTCCAATCACCCAAAGATTCTGTTTTTAAACTTACAAGATTCAGTGCTAGGGAGGCACCCCACCATTGACTTAGCTGGCTTTAGGATCTAACACTGTTAGTTTGGTATGGCTTTGCTTAAACTTGGCTTTCTGGTACTTAGTTACTTGTCATTTAATTTTAATGCTGTTCAGTTTTACTCTGTATCTTTAGAACTAAGAGGGAGTAAAGTATATATAATAAATAAAATGATTATAGAATTTAACATTAGTTATTGAGTTAGGTTTTGACTCTTGGTATACAAATTGTACACTAATGATCAGATGCTTAAATTTCTTTTTTTCTTTATGATAATGAAAATTATTTATAGAGAAATTTTTTTAAAAAGTTATAATTCTTTAATTTTTGGTTTGTGTAAAATAATACATATATATATATGTATACACATACATACACACACACAAACACACATATGAATGTATACACACACCACACACACACACACACACACACACACACACACACACACCCTCTTATAACAAAACTCTAAAAACCTTGTGGACTAAGCTTTGTAAACTGCAACTAGAAGCTCCATAGTTAGAGATGACAAATAACCTCGTAGTGGTGTGGTATCATTTGTTCAGATTGGGTTGTTTTTTTTAGGGGGTTCTAGAGTTGCCAGGGTTAGACTACATTTAATGCTGTCTTCACTTAGAACTAAAGGATGAAATGAAGCCCTGCCAAACATGTGTCAGAGAGAGGTTCATTTATAAAATGCTATCTAAGCTCTGTAGTTAGTGAAAATTCTAATTTTAGGAGTGGTCATCAGTATGATACTGCTCTGCACCTCTTGTTATTTGGTTGTTTCTATGTACATTTATTGAGTGGTTAAAGTTACCGTGCACTGGTGTTGCCACTAAGAGCTAGTTGCTTCCTGTGCTTTGGTCCTTTCAGAGTACAGAATTTTCTGAGACACCTTCTCCAGACAGTGACTCCGTGAACTCTGTGGAAGGACACTCTGAGCCATCCTGGTTTAAAGACATAAAATTTGATGACAGTGACACAGAACAGATTGCTGAAGAAGGTGACGATAATTTGGCTAGTAAGTTTGGCTTTCTAAAGTTTTAGTTTTTGTTGCTTATTGCTGTGTTGGTACGATAAAATGCTTGTCTTGTTTATGATTTAAGGTTCTCACTTGATGGAAACATCTGATAGTGATCCTTGTCTTAGATACAGTATTTTCTTAAGAAACCACTTTGTTAGTCAGCTGACATTCATTTCTGGATATTGCATTAGTCTCTAGTTTGCAGCAGCTTAAAAATAACTCCAGCTAATATCTCAGCAGGCAGCTTCCTTATATCTCCACTGTGGTATCAGACTTTCTCTCTGCAGAACCTCCAATATATTACCTCATTTAAAAATTCCTTTTAAATTTAATCTGCTTAAATTTATTAAGTCTACCCAGAAGTACATGAAAATACTGTATCCATTTTGGTATTGCACATTGGGCTTGTATATTAAAAACATTTTTTTTCCTTTCCTCCAATGCCCTGATAAAACCCATTTTTACTCCCCTCTCCCTGTATTTCTTTCCCTTTCCCAACACTAAAAGATTCTGCCAGTCCTAGCAAGCGCACTTCAGTCAGCAGTTTCCAGTCCACAGTGGACAGTGACTCAGCCGCTTCTATCAGCCTGAACGTGGAGCTGGACAACGTGAACTTCCATATCAAGAAGCCCTCCAAGTACCCACATGTGCCCCCTCACCCTGCTGACCAAAAAGGTAGGAGGTAGTCACCAACTGGACTCCAAACAGGCTGAAAAGCTGGGCCCTAGAATCTCATTACAGCCTGGCCTCTGGCTTCCTCTGTCCCATAAGGCTGAGGGATTTGGAGTGGGTTTTGTTCCACCCTTTCTTGCCTCCCTCCAGTACTCCTCCCCACACCTTTTTGGTTGACTCTTTTTATTTCTTATTTTAACCCCTTTGCACTGCCATGCCCAGTTAAAAGTATAGTCTTTAAAAGGAACTCTTCTGATTGCTGTTCCCATAATGTGCAACTTCCAAGGTGGCAATTCTTTGTATTTATAACATGGACGTTCTGCTCTATTCTTTTGTCTTTTCTTCATTTAACATCACAAAGCCTCTTTGCCTTGCTATTCTGCAACAACAGTTTCTTTAAGACAGTGTAGATTTTTGAACATAGATTGGGGAAATTTTTCCATTAATGTTCATTACATTTTAAATTTTCTTCTCTAGTAAACAGTGAATTCCTTTGTAATTTTAGTTGTCTTATTTGATGCTTTAGTTTATGAACTCAAAAGTACTAATGACCACTTAAAAAATTCCAAAAACAAAATCACTATGTAAAAGGAAGGATACAGCAAACTATTTCTAACATTTAACATTAGCAGCATAGATGGATTGTTCCTTTTTAAAAATGAGCCATATATTACTAGATGCAATTAGAAGCTAATCTAAATTATAACCCTAAATATACCATTTTTTTAAATAAAATAGGCAATTAATTATGGCAGTTCATTATAATAATAACCAAAACATCTTTATTATAGATAGACCCCTTAATTTTATGGTTTTACCCAGAGTTTGAATTTTTAAACTTTTAACTCTAAAACTGAATTGCTTCTGAAATACTTGTCTAATTCTTTGCCCCTCTTTACTTTAAACTTAAAAATAACATAGAGGGCATTTGGGTTTATTTATAACTTGAAACATTTATATTCCTCAGATTTCTCATAATTGTCAATGTAAGCTATTATCAAGATGTAATAAAATGTCAATTAAGGTAATCATGACAATAAAAAGTGCTGCTTATTTAAGAAATAAAGTATTGAGACAGAGGGAGAGAAAACAGATTTGACTGTCACTGTGTTTAATAAAATCCACATGGTGATGGGATCTTTTTTAGTATAGAAGTTTGAAACATGATGGGAAGATCTGGATGAGTGTAAGGGACAGTGAGGCCAATCTGACCCTGTGAGAATCCACTATTCTGTAGTTACATGAGGAAATTTGGCTTTTAATAAGAGGTGTAGGTCAGCAGTAGAATATGACATGACAGGACATCTGTCCTCTGAATATGCCTGGTAGCATGAATGCAGAGTGTGAAGTATACTTGTTTGCTGATGATTTTACCTTTTGGAATGTTAAGCATGTTTTGAAAATTTTGAAAAAAGTAACCCTTCATCATAGACTTCATACTGCTGAGCTGGCACACGTTTACTTTAGGAGACCTAACTGAGAATGTTAGGTGAGCAATAAAACTGAGGCTTCAAAAGTGACATTTTACAGCTGACCTCAGTGTAACTCTCTGGAAAATAAAAGGAGACATTCCTGCAGTTGAAAAACCCATCATTCTTATTGAAAACTCTGGTTTTAAATCTTTAAAAAATGATAAAAGTTATGAGCAGCAACTGCCATTTGAAGATACTTCTGAAAGAAAGGCACATACTTGTTAAGAAAAATGACAGGATTGCAAAAATCCATGTTGTACTGAAGGTTGGAGTAAAGGTCAGGATATCAAAGAGTCCAGTTGTCATAGAAAGAAAAATTCGAAATTATTAGAGAAGTAGATGTAGTTCAAAATTAATATTGTCTGAAAAGATACATGAATAAGGAGAAATGAAGTCCAAGAGAATAAGGAGACAGAGTGCATGGTTAGTTAGTTCAGATAACTAGAGGTAGGTAGATTGTGTTCCATCTTATTAAAAGAAGTTGTATTTGTGATCAAGAAGTTAGAATCTGTAGTCTTTAAAGAATCCTGTGGAATAGGAGTCTAGATTACTGTATTGCTGCTAGATGGCATGATATTTTTTCTTTTCTTTATTTATTTATTATATGCATTGATGTTTTGCCTGAATGTCTGTCTGTGTGTGTGAGAGTGTCAGAACCCCTGGAACTGGAGTTACATAGACAATTTCAAGCTGCCATGTGGGTGTTGGGTTCTTTGGAAGGCAGCCAATGCTCTTAACCCCTGAGTCATCTCTCTACACCCCCCACCCCGCCTTGAGACAGGGTCTCTCTGTGTAGCCCTGGCTGCCTTCGAACTCATTCTGTAGACCAGGCTGGCCTCAAACTCATAGAAATCTGCCTGAATCTGCCTCCCAAATCAAATGCTGGGATTAAAGACTTGCACTACCACCTGAGATATATATATATAGCTTCTTGATAGGGCTTTGGAAGGTAATAACATTGTAAGAAGTTTAGTGAGTAAAGTATACTATGGTATTTAGAAAAGGATTTGTGGTGTCTGGGAGCCTGTGCTGCCTAGCTAAAATAAATCACTTTGAAATGAACCTAACTCTACCTTAATATTGATAAGAAGTTGGTAGGTTAGAGGAATGTCACTTTTTTTTTCAATGTTAACAAAGCATTTGATTGTCATCATTAACTTTTTTGCCCGAGACAACAATGAAATATGTAAAAGAGTTAGTTGGAGTCAGTGGTCCTATGAATTGGGTAAAAGCATAGGCTGTGCTGTGCTGAGCTAGAAGATGGCTCAGTAGGTAAAGGTACTTGTCACCAAGATTGAAAACCTGAGTTCCATCTCTGATCCCCACATGGTAGAGAACAAGAACCAACTCATGGAAATTGCCTTCTGACTTATGGCATTGGCATGCCCCCTGCCTCCCAAATAAGTAAGTAGATAAATAAATGTAAAAATAAGTAAGGTAGCTCAGGTTATGGAGTCTGAATTAGCTTATAACAATTGCTTGCTTGTTTTTAATTGTTGTTTAAGATGATCATTGTCAAATTTGAAGCCAGTAAGAAGAGAATATCCTAAGTTATCCTATAGGGCTTTGGTTTAGTCAAGATTGTTCAATACTTACTAGAGCAGATTAATAGTATAGGCTACTGGGTTTCATTGTGGTTCTTCACATAGTCATACATCATATTTGTATTAGTTATATGGAACAAAGTGATGCAGTGACCTATGTATATAAAGGAACGCATCAGTAAAACCAGGTAACATCTGGCGCCTCAGTAACCAACCTTTTTTTTTTTTTTTTTACAAAAACCTTCAAGATTTACTTTCTTGTAATTTTAAAGTATCTACTTCATAATATTAATTTCAATCATCATGCTGTAAAGTATATCTCGGTTCCTCTACCTAACTGAAACTTCCTACCCAGACCAACACTTCCTTATTCTGTCCACTCCTGCTGGCCTCTGACACCCAGGATTCTGTCCACTGTGAGCTTTTGTTTTTTTTTTTTTTTTTTTTAATGGAAGTCTGCAAAGCATAGTATGTTTATAACTGTAGGAGTTTAGCAGTGCTGTTATGAATGTTGGCAGAGTTGTGTAGCTTGCTTCAGTGATTGTGTAAAATACTAAAATGAGCAATATCAGTTTGAGACCAGCTGGAAGAGGATGCCCTTAGGTTATGCTATAGAGCTGGGTATGGCTATATCAGTTTGTTTAGCACTTTGTGTGTGGGTTGTGGGACAAATGTTTATAAGAAGTTGTTTGTGTGTTGTGTGTGTGTGTATACATGTATACATGCATGTATGGAAGAGACCAGAGGTCAACACTGAGTATTTTTTTCATTATTAGTCTTCACCTTATTTTTTAAGACAAAGTGAACCTGGAGCTCACTGATTTGGTTAGACTAGCTGGGCAGCAAGCCCCAGACATCCTCCTGTTTCTACTCCACACTGCTGGGATTACAGGCTTGTGTGGCTAAATTCACCCTTTATATGTGAGTGTTTGGAATCTGGACTTAGGTTCTCAAGCCTGTGTGACAAGCACTTTGCGGACACTTTCAATACTTTATAAACATTTTTATGTACTTTAAAAAAGGTTTATTAGTATTTTGCATGTATTTATGTATACCATGTATATGCCTGGTGCCTGCGGATGCCAGAAGAGGACAGTGAATCCCCAGGAACTAGAGTTATAGATGGTTGTAAGCCACCATATGGGTGCTGGGAATTGAACCCAGGTATTAAAATTCGTTTGGTGTTGCAGGCAAGATTCTGCAATGTTCTTAGAACATTAGTAGCAATACTTTGAGATACAGGTGAAAGCCATGGCTCTGTGAGCCATTTGAGTGGATTTCCCATGCACAGAAAACATGTGATTAAGGAGCAGATTAAGTATCCCATGGAGAGAAACACTGGATCAGACCTAGCGCATGTGGGGCATTACATGGGACATTTGCCTGTTTTTTTGAAAATTCCTTACTGCGAAAAGAAACTAGATCTGTTCTAAGTAGAAAGAGAATGAGGAGACATGGCAAGCAAATTCCATGTGTGACTTGATGGGGTCCAATTTTCAGGAACCATGTTTTTGAAAGATACTGTGCAAATAGATAAATTTGAATATGGATCAGTTCTGTGATTGTTACACTATTGTCTGCTTTCACAATTATGTAAATGATAGGGTGGCTATAGAGGAGTGCTCTCGTTTTAAAGTAGTGCTTACTGATGTGCTACTTGCAAAGTTTTGTGAGTAACTTGAAATACTTTACATTCAAACTTTATACTTACATGTGTGTATGTTTGTGAGTGTAGGTGTCAGGAGTTGTGGAACTGGAATTATAGGCAGTTGTGAGCCATCATGTGAGTGCTGGAAATCAAATTCAGGTCCTCTGGAAGAGCAGCAGATGCTGTTAAGCCCTGAGCTAACTTTACAAGCGTGTGCAGATACATAGAGAAATAAGATATTACAAGTTTTCAACAATTGCTATATCTTAAGTGGACAGTATACAGGATTTTTTGTAGATTTAAATTTTTCCGTATTGAGAGGAGAAAACTGTAATTTCTAGAATTTGATATTTAAGTTTTAGTATGAGAAGTAGGGCTTTTAAATAGCAATGCATTAATTGAATTAACAGAATTTGGCATTGCTTTTTTCTGCTAGAAATATAGAAACAAATTATATCTGTCTTGCCTACATACTTGGTTATATTGTATGGTGTAGTTTAGTTTTCTAATAAAATATTTTCTTTGCTTCCTGGCTGGAAGGGTGAATTTATTGGCTTAGAAATGAATTCGGAAAATGTTTTGTGGAATATTCACATATAGTTAATGCACTGTGGTTTAATTTGCATAGTAAAAAGAACCACTCTGGGCTGTGTTTAGAGGAAGGTTCATTTCTAGAGTTTCACTTGTAGAAACGTATTTAGATTTTAAATGCTTTGAAAACATTCGGAGTGTATTCGTCAATTATCTTATTGCAAAGATGTGGTAATAAGCTAGGAGTTAAAAAAACCAGGAAGTATGATTTTAAAACTTAACAAAAATTCCTTGAATTATATCTTTATCTTCTGCCGTATGAATTTTATTGCATGTATCTTGTACATTTTTCTTATGTGGCTTCTATAAAGTACCCTGCCTATAGATAGTCATTATTTGTTAAATAATGTAGTGATACATGAGGAAAGTGGTAAGTGATGTAATGTTTTACAGTTTTTCATGCTAATTTCTAAATTTAAAGGAATAAGAGAGAGCTTACTCTTAAACCATTTTGAGTGACCATGGTCCAGGAACATTGGTTTAGGCTTCTTCAATTTCCATGTTTCAACATGGAAGCAGTTTAATAAATTGGTTCTGTTTTGACAACTTCGGTCATTTGAAAACATATCTTTTAAAATGTCTGACATTTGAACCAAGGCAAATTGTTTAATGATTCTGTTGTCAATTTAAGTCTCCTGAAAATAGTTTAGTATGAAATTTATAAAACATATGTAAATGTTTGCTGGATGGTGATGCATTTTGTAGGAGTACCACACCCTTGTGGGGGTGTTCTGCTGCATAATTATGCTGACATCTTGAAGTCACATGTCTTTTCTTCCTCTTCTCTGTTCTCTTCCTGGTTTGCAGAGTATTTGGTTTCTGACACTGGAGGACAGCAGCTCTCAATAAGTGATGCCTTCATCAAAGGTAATCTTAAAACAGCTGTACTGGAAGTGATGTCTGCTTCTTGATGGTGTGCTTGAGGTCTTAGCACATTGACTGACAGAGAGTGCTAACGGTATTTGATTATTCTGGTATCATAGGAACGTGATTTTAAATGTATAGAATGACTTTGGAGTATGTTGGAATTCAAGAGTATACAGTTGGTCTCAGTTTGAGATGAGATCTTTAATGTAAAGGTGATTAAATTGTTTTAAATCAACTTTGTGTTTTATTCTTTTGAAGGCATTCTATAATAGTAAACATTGATATGCATATTGTCATGGTTTGCCTCACTGTTAGAGACCTCACAAGTGAGCTCATTACTTGAATTTACTGTTCGCCCTGTAGAATTGGAAAGAGAAGAAGGCAAAGGAGAATAAAGCATGAAAGCCACTGTCAAGTTCATTGGGTCTAAAGAAGAATAGATGAATACAAACGTCTTACCTTAACTTAAGCTGTTGAGGAGAAAAGGCAAAGGGAGGGAAGGGTCTTTCTCCAGTCTTCTTAGTTCCTGGGGCTTTAGAAAAAGTGAGGCGGTGGGGCAAGTTGGAACAAGGGAGGCAGCTGCTCTGGCTGGGGAGGCTATCTAAATTCACCTTCTAACATCTGGTTTGACTAGAAGTTTATAGACTGGCTGTTCATGTAATTGAAAAGTGCCAGTCTTGTGCCTCTTGTACCATTCGTTACATGTGCTTAATAGAAGTTGATTTGCTTTAAAAAAGAAAGCATTACATTTCCTATCTCTTTCTTTCCATGTGTTCAGTCATATTCTATGATTATTTAATGAGCACATGTTTTGTAAAGCATTGTTGTTTAACTTTTTTCATCAATTTTATCCCTCTAAAAAGTTTTATTTTTTTTGTCATTTATAAGTGTGTGTGTGTGTGTGTGTGTGTGTATGTCTGCATATATTTATACTCATGTTAGTGGAGGCACCTGCAGAGACCAAAGGTGTTGGATTCCCTGGGACGAGAGTTCCAGATGGTTGTAAGCTGCCAGATCTGGGAGCTGGGAACTGCTTCTGGAAGAACAGCAAATGCTCTTAACTTCTGAACCGTTTCTCCAGCCCCCAAAGCAGCTTAGATCAGGCTGACCGCAAATTCATAGCAGCCTTTGCCTCCTGAGTTCAGGAATTAAAGGTGTGCACCACCACACTCAATCGTTTCACCCATTTAAAAATTTAAAGACTTCAAAATCATATGTAAATTTTTTATTATGTTTTATTTAGTATAATTTCTTTATAGTTTATTTTTTAACGTGTTAAAATTTTGTTTTAAAGCCTATATTGTAAAATACAGTGGAGGATTGTGTGACGTGACTTTATACTGTCATTTGGGACTGGGATTATCTATGAGAGTTTCTCTTCTGAGAATTCAGGGTTACACATGACGTTACTATTGCCATTCAGATTTCAGTTGAATGTGGTTTTCAACTTATATTTTATGTGGAAAATTTCCATTCTTTGTAACTCTTTAAAACAGAGGCTCTCAACCTGTGAGTCTCAACTTCTTTGGGGATCAAATAGCCTTTTTACAGGGGTTATCTAAGACCACTGGAAAACATAGATATTTGCATTATGATTCATAATAGTACCAAAATTAGTTATGAAGTAGTAATGAAGATAACACAAGGAACTTATTAAAGGGTCACAGCATTAGGAAGATTGAGACCCACTGCTTTAAAACAAGCAGGATGAAAAAATACTATTTTGTTTGTGTTTTAGAATTCATGTTGATACTTTTAGTGGGAGAGTCTTTGTTACTTAGGTTAAGTTACTTTTCATAATTGTTCTCAGATTTTGTCTGATGGAATTGTTTCTTCATTCTTCCACTATGCTGGGTCTTGCATATGCTAGAGAAGTGCTGTACCTCATGCCCTGCTTCTATAGTTTAGTGTGTTGATATATGTGTATTTATATGATTGCATATTTTATCATATATTTTAATTGTGTGTTGATTACAAGTCTTTGCTGTTTTATAGCAATAATTTATATTGGTCACCTTCTGAGAGTTTTATTTTTTTAAGTGTATGAGTTGATGCTATGAAATATGCCAATGAAGTACCCACTTTATGTTTAGAGTCCTTATTTAATCGACGAGTAGAGGAAAAATCTAAAGAGCTGCCTTTCACTCCTTTGGGATGGCATCATAACAACCTGGAACTCTTGCGGGAGGAGAATGAGGAGAAGCAAGCCATGGAAAGGCTGCTGTAAGGCACTAGATTTTTATTTTTCTCTTATAGCTTTTATAATTTTCAGTGACTTGGCTATATGCATAATCTCTCTTGCTTATAAAGTGAAAAAATTAAAAGTGTAGTCTGAGTTCTGATGAAATATCTTATAAAGCAGAGTCCCAGGCTGATTGTCTCCATTTTAATTTATGTGTTAAAATTTTATTTCAGCACTTTGAAGGTCATTTGTTAGTTTAAAGCTACTAACAGATTTCATTTATGTACAGAATCATTATGGTAAATAAAGATACATTGAAAGAATAAAATTGACATGGAAGATCTTATCTTTGAGCCATAATTAGAATGTTTATTTCTTTAAAATTGCTTCTTGTGTTTTTAGTACTTACTGTAAAAACTTGTTTTTCTACATTTTGTAGTTCAGCTAACCATAACCACATGATGGCCCTACTCCAGCAGTTGCTTCAAAATGAGTCATTGTCATCGTCTTGGAGGGACATCATTGTGTCACTAGTCTGCCAGGTTGTTCAGACAGTCAGACCTGATGTCAAGCACCAGGATGATGACATGGATATCCGTCAGTTTGTCCATATCAAGAAGGTGAGTTCTGCTACTGTTTGCTGCTGCTAGGAACTGCTGGGGCAGGCCTAACAGTCGTTTATCAGGTGATCTGAAAGGAGTCATTACCATGAAGTTATCTTCTCTGTCAACAATAGGAATAGAACTCTTGGTAGACCTTATAGGAAGTGAGAGGTGCGTGGAAAGTTGTGGTGTGATGTGAGAACCAAAATAAACAATTTCTTCCTTTTTTTCTTTCTTTTTAGATTTATTTATTTATTTATTTTATGTCTGTGAGTACACTGTTGCTGTCTTCAGACACCAGAAGAGGGCATCAGATCCCATTATAGATGGTTGTGAGCCACCATGTGGTTGCTGGGAACTGAACTCAGGACCTCTGGAAGAGCAGACAGTGCTCTTAACCACGGAACCATCTCTCCAGCCCAATTTCTTCCTTTTCTAATGCTGCTTCTTAGCATGTCATTTATGAGAAAGCCTGTTCTTGTAGATTACTATCACTGTCTTGAGGAAAAGCAGTGAGTAATTGCTTTATTTAGATAATATTAACTTGGGAATGTATGTTTTACCCATAATATTTAATGTTAAAAATAGTGCCATAGACACCAGCTTATTTAGTCAATGAGTATTTAGAGTAGAGGGTAGCAAAACAATTATGATGAGATTGTTAACTATGAGATGAAGTGAACTATATTCTGGAACTTTCTCCCTTTATGTTGCAGATTAAAGATGCTTAGACATAATAATAACCTTCTGATGAAGTCTGGGTATATCACTAGTTTTTATTGTTTTCTTGTTTTATTAGATCCCAGGTGGAAAGAAATTTGATTCCCTGGTTGTCAATGGCTTTGTTTGTACCAAGAACATTGCACATAAAAAGGTAATAAGTTTCAGTTCAGCAGTGGAATTCAGTAGACCATGGCTATGTGCTAAACTCACAAGTTGGGATTTCTTACTATGAAGGAAAAGGAGATGTTGACGGATGCTTAGTCATATGGTTCATAAAGGTGAAAGTTCAGAGGTTCCAGGAAAATCCCCCAGAGCTGATGATAAGTCGGAATTTGAATAATGGAAATTCATAAGACAGAAGAAGGAAGGGAGAAAGTTAGGTTTTCAGTTCAATAGAGGGCAATGATGCTGGTATCCTATCTCCCTAGACCTTGCCTAGGCAGGACTTTTCTGAAAGACTGCAATTCTTTAAATGGTTTAGTTTTCTACAACTGGTCTTCTTACAGAATTGTCATTATTTTCTCACCTATTGTACTGGCTGGTTTTGTGTGTCAACTTGACATAAGCTGTAGTTACCACAGAGAAAGGAACCTCCCTTGAGGAAATGCTTCCATGAGATCCAGCTTTAAGGCATTTTTCTCAATTAGTGATCAGGGTGGGAGGGCCCAGCCCATTGTGAGTGGTGCTATCCCTGGGCTAGTAGTCTTGGACATTATAAGAAAGTAAGCTGAGCAAATCAGGGGAAGCAAGCCTTAAGTAAGCAGGATTCCTCCATGGCTTCTGCATCCAATCCTGCCTTCAAGTTCCTGTCCTGTGTGAGTTCCTCTGGTGATGAACAGCAATGTGGAAGTGTAAGCTAAATAAACCTCCAACTTGCTTCTTGGTCATGATGTTTTGTACAGAAATAGAAACCCTAAGACACCAATTTTACCCTTACTCTCAGCTCCAAGGCCTCTTTTGAGCACTAGCACAAAGAGAAGAAGTTAGGTTAGATAATGAATGTTAGGGAATCTTGAGATACGAACTTCTGAGGGCTTTTAATTTCTTGGACACCTTGTTAAATACCTGGATCCCTAACCTTTTTAGACTGTCTCATTCAGTTGGTTAAGGGAGGAGGAAAGGTTAGATGAGTGAGTGAAGGACCGTATTGCATTTAAAATGGACATTGTGAATATTTCAGTATCATCTGTTGGTAGTCATATTCAAATACATTTTTATTGATTCATTTTCTCTGGGCCTTTTGCTCAGATGAATGTCTGTATAGTACATATAGTGTGTACCTGATATCATGGAGGTCAGACGAGGGCATCAGATGCCTTGGTACTGGAGTTACAGATGGTTGTGAGCTTGCCATGGTGCTAGGAATTGTATACTAAGTGCTCTTACCTGCTGAGTTGTCTTTTTAGCATCTTGGTCTTCTCATTTTGAGAAACTATAACACCATTATTAGATTTTGCTCTACTTTACAATCGTCAAGGAAACTACATAACACTAAAGAATACCTTGGCCTCATCACAGGAGACTTGGTGCTGGGAAGTCAAGACAACCACTTTAGTCTGAGAACATAGATTGTTGAACTGTAGTTCTGTTTTCACTATTTTCTAAGTATAGACTAATACAGTTGTCTCTGAGTTGTTGTAGGTTATTGGTTCCAGGGTTTCCAGGGAATGCTGAGATGTGGGACACTCAAGCTCTGTGTATAAGATGGCTTAGTGTGTACTTGTAATCTATTGGATACTTTCTTGTAGACTTGAATTTATCTCTAGATGACTTACAATGGCTAATACAATGTAAATGTACAAATAGTTGTTTTGCTATATTGTTTAGGCCCTAATGAATTTAAATGATAGAAAAAATAATTTGTGCATGATTAGGACTCACAGTTAGACTCTTTGCCCATTTTGCAAAAATTTTTCTATCTGTAATAGGTCAAATCCAGGATGTGGGAATTTTGGGCTGACTATAAGACATTTAGCCTTTAGAAAATTGTTAATGATCACTTATAAATAATATGCTGGTTGTTTCATGAAATATTAAAAAGCATCTCACGCTATTGCTGGCTAGGCACCGGCAGATAGGCCAGCCTATTCTCTGCCTGGCAGACTCTGACTCAGAGCTCCAAAATTGCTCTCTCCTCCCTGCTCACTAAGTTCCCATGGATGGCTGCTGTCATGCCCACCTCACACTTCCAAATTCCTGTGGCTAGCTGGGATGCACACCTTACTTTGCTGCCATCCCTTTCTCTGGAACCCAGTTGAGTCGCTGAGTGAAGGAAAACACCACATAATCTTAGTTTAGAATCAATAGGTAACACAGTTGCTGGGTACAGAACCTATCATCCTAAGTTTGTAAACTAATTTATGTTAAATCCTTGAGTGGTGGATCCTGGTGGATCCAACAGCCTCTGGCTTCCTACATTCTGTCTCCCTTGCTGCTGCTGTCCAAAAGGGCCCTTCATTTCTCCTGCCTTCCCTTTTCCTCTTCCTGACCCAGACAGAAGTCCCAACTCATCCCCCAGTGATTGGTCCCTTGTAATCTTTATTCATTAGGAGAAGGTTCCGCCACAGCTGGTATTAAATATTATTTCTTAGACATGGTCCAACATCACTTTGTATATACAATCTTGTAAATCAGGATATGACACTTTTAAGGTTCAGTGTCAAGCCAAAATAAGTGATTTTTACTGAATTAAGACTAAGAATCTTAGTCAGATGGTGGTAGCTCACTTTTAATCCTAGCATTCAGGCGGTAGAGGCAGGTGGATTCTCTGAGTTTGAGGCCATCCTGGTCTATAGAGGGAGGGAGGTCCTCCCTATCTTAAGAAAACAAAACAAAATAAAAGAAGGACTAAACATGTTAGACCTTTTCAGGAGTTGACGGAAATCATGAGTAGGAGAGGTAGAAGCATACCCATGAATTATTGTTTTGCCTCACTGATCATATTTAGACATAGCTTTTAATTTTAGAGCCTCAAATATATTAGCCCACTTACTTGCTGTCCTCAGAACTGTTTGCCAATCTGGGCTATGTGAGTTTGGTCAAACTGAAACCTTAATGGCAGCACACAAGTTGCTCTGCCTGTGGCTTTAGTCACATAGTTGGAATGTTGGCAGAGTTTCTGCTTTTGACAATAATTTTGTTTTCTCTTTTAACTTCACTTTATCCATTGGGCTTGGCAATTTAGGATGTATTCTGTTAGAATAGTGTTTAAGTACCATTAAGTTTTCTTCCTTTTTTACTTTTGAAGTTTAGAAAGACTGAAATATAGTTTCAAAGTTGTTGATCTAGAGTGTGTGATACTCTGAATATAATACCCACTGCCACCTAGAGAGTACTATTTGTTCTTACAGTATGAGAAATTGTAAAACAAAAATATAATGAATAGTATAGAGGAATAGGTAAGAAAAAGTTGTTTTTGAAGAACTTGCTTTGAAAAAAAAAGAGAATTACCCAAAAGTAATAAATTAGAATTTTATAATACTAATAGGAATTATGAACAATATGAATTAAAATTATAGTTGAAAGTCTATAAAGTATAAGCCTTTAACAAAACCTTTTTTTTTTAGATGAATTCCTGTATTAAAAACCCCAAAATCCTTCTGTTGAAGTGTTCTATTGAGTATCTCTACAGAGAGGAGACAAAGTTTACTTGCATTGATCCTATCGTGCTTCAGGTAAGAAGTTCTGGAGGAAAGCATTTGATGGATTCTTACCTTCTGCATTGCTTGCCACCTCTTACTTTCAAAAACTTTGTTATATTTCAAAAATTAAATTATGCGAGCCATGTTTATGTTACACTTTAGGAAGTAGCTTACCCAAATCACTTTCACTCATTTTTAAGGTTTCAGAGTGTTGAAGGGAGCATATGACTTGGAATGTGTGGAAGAGAAAGTAAAAATTCAACTTTGGGTTTAGTTCTCTTCTGTACTTTGGCCATCACGTTTGGGAGAGTTTCTCTAACTTCTTAGGTTAATGGAACCTCCCATTTTGTAGTATAGATGCTCACTAATACCTATTTCTAGAATACAAATAGTTTATATGTCGTTGGCAAATAGAGGAATAACTTAAGAAGAGGGTTATATGTTGGTTTCTTTGTGTTTTTTTTCTGAGCAAAGGGCAACAGAATAGCAGCTTTAAGTTATAACTTCAGCCTTTTTGCTGCATAGGCACAGGCTCTCTTAGCTCTGCTCTGTAAGGAAATGCTTATTACGAAGCTCTCTCCACAGAAAGATGTACTTCTAGCCAAGGCTGGCTCCTGGGAGCTTTACTACCAGGCACCATCTCTACTCTTGCAGTTCATTTTATACATTAAAAGTTTGTTTTTTTTTTTTTAAATTGAAATAGAATTAAATGTATCACTTTCCGTTTTCCCTTTCCTCCCTCCAGCCCCTCTCAGCTACCCATTCTTGAACCCCTACCATGCCCTACCCACTGTCCTATTGATAGACTCTTTTTTTATAATTGTTGTTACATATGTGTGTATGAATGTATACATATATGTACAATTATATAATATGTATGATGTTATGAGTATATGAATGTATATCTGAATGTATATGTAGGCACAATTATATAATATATATGATATACATTCATATATGAATACATATATTGATTTCCATAGTGGTTGTAAAAGTTTGCACTTGCAGCAGCAGTGGGTGGGTGTTCTCTTTGCTCCACATCCTCAGCGTCATGTGCTGTCACTTGTGTTATTGATCCTAGCCATTTAGAGAGGCGTAAGATGGAAACTTACTTTACTTTGTGTTTCCATGATGGCTAAAGATGTTGACTATTTCTTTAAGTGTTTCTCAGCCTTTTGAGATTCCTTTATTGAGACATCTCTTTTTAGAAATGTACCCCAGTTTTTAATTGAATTATTTGACTTGTAGATATCTAGTTTCCTTTATATATTTTGGATGCTAGTGCTCTATTGAATGTGGAGCTGATAAAAACTCTTTTTCATTCTGAAGGTTGATGTTTTGTTGGATTAATGGTGTTTTTTTTTTTCCTTATAGAAGCTTTTCAGTTTGGTGAGGTAGCATATATTAATTGTTGATCTTAGTTGCCTGTGCTACCAGTGTTTTGTTCGGAAAGTTGTCTCCTGTGCTAATGTATTCAATATTATCCCCCTCTTTCTATCAGGCTCATTGTATTTGGTTTTATGTTGAGGTCTTCGATCCACTTGGACTTGTGTTTTTTGTAGGGTGATAAAGATGAATCTCTTTGCATTCTTCTACATGCAGACATTCAGTTTGACCAGCACCATTTGTTGAAGGTGCTGTGTTTTTTCCAGTGTGTATTTCTGTTTTTTTTTTTAAATCAAAATCAGTGTCTATATGTATGTGGATTTTTATCTGTGTCTTCAGTTTGAATCCGTTGATCAACATGTCTGTTTTTATGTCAGTACCATGTGGTTTTTGTTTCTGTAATGCTGTAGTACAACTAGAAATCAGGAGTGGAGATACCTTCAGTTTTTTATTATTATACAGGATTGTTTTAGCTGTCTTCATTTTTTTTTTTCCATATGAAGTTGAGAAGTTGTCCTGTCAAGGACTGATGAGAATTACATTAAATCTGTGGATTGCTTTTGGTAAGGTGTCCATTTTTACTATGTTAATCCTACATCCATGATCCTAGGAGATCTTTTCATCTTCTGATATATTCTTCAGTTTCTTTCTTCAAAGACTTGAAGTTTTTATTGTACAGGTCTTTTACTTGCTTGTTTAGTTACCTCATGATATTTTAAATTATTTGTGGCTGTTGTAAAAGTGTTGTTTTGCTGATTTCTTTTTATTTTTTTAAAATTACTTTTATGTTTTTACAGTCCAGTCTTTGCCCCACTTCCGGCCTGCCCTCCCACAGTTCCTCATCCTGTCTCCAAAAGGATATTTTCCCCCCAGCCCCCACAAGGCCTCCCCGCTCCCTGGGGCATCAAGTCTCTCAAGGGTTAGATGCATCTTCTCTCACTGAGGCCAGACCAGGCAGTCAGTCCTCTGCTGTATATGTGTCGGGGGCCTTGGGCCAGGTATTGTATGTTGCCTGGTTGGCAGCTTAGTGTCTGAGATATCTCAGGGGTCCCAGTTAGTTGAGACTGTTGGTCTTCCTATGGGGTCGCCCTCATCCTCAGCTTCTTCCAGCCTTTTCCTAATTCAACCACAGGGGTCCTTTTTGTGAGCACACTATAGCATCAGTAATAGTGTCAGGCCTTAGAGCCTCTCCTTGAGCTTGATCCCAAGTTGGGCTGGTCACTGGACCTCCTTTCCCTCAGTCTCCTCTCTATTTTTGTCCCTTCAGTTCTTTTAGACAGAAATGATTCTGGGTCAGAGTTAATATTCATAGTGGCCTTATCTGTGATAGCCAGAAGCTGAAAACAACCCCAGATGTCCCATGACAGAAGAATGGATACAGAAAATGTGGTTCATTTACACAATGGAGTACTAGTCAGCTAATTAAGAATGAGGACATCATGAGTTTTGTAGGCAAATGGATGGAACTAGAAAATATTCTGAGTGAGGTAACTCAGACTCAAAATGATATCCATAGTATGTACTCACTAATAAGTGGATATTAGCCAAAAAAGTACAGAACACCTAGGATATAATCCATAGAACTCAAGAAGGTTAACAAGTGGAAGGGCCCCAGTGAGGATGCTTCATTCTCATTTGGGAGGAGAAGAAAACAATCACAGGAGGCAGAGAAAGGGAGGTAATTGGGCAGGAGAGTGGATGGGGAGGGGATAAAGGGAGCATGATCTCGTATCGGGGGCAGAGACAGGAGAGAAGCCCTGAGGGCCAGCAGAATGAATGGAAATATGCAATTCCAGGGTGTGGGAGGTGGGGGACCCTTCTAGAAAGTTCCCTGATTTCTTTCTTAGTCTGTTTGTCATTTGTATAAAGGAAATTTTCTGATTTATTTCTGATTTTAAAAATGTGTGTGTGTGTGTGTGTGTGTGTGTGTGTGTGTGTGTATTTGAGTTAATTTTGTATCCAGCTACTTTGCTGAAATTCTTAGCTGTACGAGTTTGCCAGTGGAATTTTTAGTCACTTATGTATACTACCATATTGTCTACAAATAAGGATACTTTGACTTCTTCCTTTCCATTTGTATCTCCTTGACCTCTTACAGTTGTTTTATTGCTCTAGCTAAGACTTCAAGTACAATGTTGAGTAGACATGGAAAGAATGAACAATAACCTTGTCTTATTCTTATTTAGTAACATTGCTTTAAAGTTTCTCTCCATTTAATTTGATGTTTGCTATAGGGTTGTTGGAGATTGTCTTTATTATGTTTAGGTATGTCCCTTGTATCCCTAATCTCTTTAGGACTTTTATCATGAAGGGGTGTTGGATTTTTGTCAAAGGCCAATGTGATAATAATGTAGTGTTTTTCTTTCAGTTTGTTTATATGGTGGATTGCATTTACCAATTTTTGTATATTGGACCTTCCCTGCTTCTCTGGGATGAAATCTATGTGATCATGGTGGATGGTCTTTTTGATATATTCTTGGATTTGGTTTGCAAGTATTTTATTTAATGAGTATTTTTGCAACTATGTTAATGAAGGAAATTGGTCTCTAATTCTCTTTGTTGGGTCTTTATATGGTTCAGGTATCAGGGTAACTGTGGCCTCATAAAATGAATTGGGCAATGTTCCTTGTGTGTCTTATTTTGTGGAATAATTTGAGGAATATTGGTGTTAACTCTTCTTTGAAAGTCTGGTAGAATTCTGTACTAGCATCTCTGTCCTGGGCTTTTTTTGCTTGGGAGACTTTGAATGAGTATTTCTCTTCCACTAAGGGTTATAAGTCTGTTTAAATTGCTTATCTGTTTTTGATTTAACTTAGTAATTGATGCCTATCGAGAAAATTATCCATTTCTTTTAGATTTTCCAATTTGATGTATAGGTTTCTTTCTGTCTTTCTTCCTTTTTTTCTTTTTTCCTTGTTGTTGTGAGACAGGATTTCCCTGTGTAGCCCTGGCTGTCCTCTAACTCACTCTGTAGACCAGGCTGGCATTGAACTTAGAGATCTGCCTGCCACTGTCTCCCTAGTGCTCGTTCTAAAGACATGTACCACCACCACTGAGGAGCATGGGTTTTTGAAATATGAACTAATGATTCTTTGAACTTCCTTGGTGTTGGTTATGTTCCTGTTTTTGATTTTGTTAATTTGAATATTTTTCTTTATCTTTTAGTTTGGTTAAGGGTTTGTCTATCACATTGATTTTTTTCCCCTTAGTTTCATTGATTCTTTTAGTTGTTTTATTTGTTTCTTTTCTTTCTTTCTTTTCTTTTTTTTTTTTAATTGATTTCTACCCCGAGTTTGATTATTTTTTTTACCATCTACTCCTCTTGGGTGTGATTACATCTTTTTGTTTTAGAATTTCAAGGTGTGCTGTTAAGTTGCTCTTATTAGGTGATTTCTCCACTTGTTTTGTTTTAGCACTTAAAGAACTTATCTCTTAGCACCTCTTTCATTGTGTTTGGGTATGTTGTATATTAATTTTCATTCAATTGTAGAATGTCTGTAATTTATTTCTTTATTTGTGTCTTGATCCATTTGTTTTTAATTCAGTAGAAGAAAGTTCAGTTTTCTTAAGTTTGCAGACTTTGTGTTTCTGTTGTTATTGGTCTCTACCTTTAATCCATGGTTGTCTGATAGGATTTAGGGAGTTGCTTCAGTTTTCTTGTATCTGTTGAGACTTGGTTTGTGTCTGAGTATGTGTTCAGTTTTGGAGGAAGTTCCATGACTTGCAGAGAAGAAGGTATTTGTTGTGTGTATGTGTGTGTGTTTGTGTGTATGTGTTTGGGTGAAATGTTCTTTAAATATCTGTTAGGTCCACATATGTGTTTACTCTAGTAGTTCTCTGTTTTTGTCTGAATGCTCTGCTCATTGATAAGAGTTGGGTATTTAAGTCTATCACTATCATTGAGTGAGAGTTGGATGTGCTTGTGTTTAGGGCATAGATGTAAAGAATTGAAATGTCCTCCTGTTGGATTTTGATGAATGTGTATTTTGATTAGTTTTGGTTTGAAATCTATTCTGGTAGCTATTAAAATGGCTACACTAGCTTGCTTTTTAGGTCCATTTGCTTGGAATATAATTTACCATCCCTTTCCCTGAGGAAATGTCTACTCTTAATGTTGCAATGTGTTTGTTGGTGTATATATCTTCTATAATTTTATTTTTGCATTCTTCTCTGATTTTGTTGAAAATATTTTCTGGGCCTTTGAACTGGTATTTCTCTCCTTCCTTTATTCCTGTTATTCTTTGGCTTGGTTTTTTCATAATTTCCTAGATTTCCTGGATAATTTGTACCAGGGTTATTTTAGATTTAATATTTTTCTTTCTTCAGTGTATCTTTGGTGCCTGAGAGAGATTCTCCCTTCCATTTCTTGTATTCTGTTGAGAAAGCTTGTCTTTGTAGTTCATATTAACATTCTTAAATTTTTAGTTTCCAGAGTTCCCTCAGTTTGTCTTTTCTTTATTGTTTCTATTCTATCCTTCAACTGTTTGCATTTTCTTGGGTTTCTTTAAAGAATTTATTCATTTCCTCTTTAAGGATCTCTTATCTTTATGTAGTTGGTTTTAAAGCCTTTCTAGTGCTTCTGCTATGTAGCAGTATTTAGAGCCTGCTCTGGAAGGTTCTAGTGGAGACATAATGCCCTAGCTGTTACTGTGTTCTTACACTGGCATCTAGGCATCTGGATTTGGGATGATTATAGGTCTAGGTTCTGATTTCTGAGTTTGTCTTTGTTGAGTAGATGTTTTGTTCCTTGGTTTCTGTTTCCTTGGAGGATTTTTGGAGAGTGATTGATGGGCATGTCTTGCCTGTTTTCCTGGCCTGTTTAGTTGGTGTGTTCACAGAGGGTGGTTGCTGGTGTCGGTTGAATTGGAGGAAGTAAGGTTGAGGGAGAGGGTCTTTGTGATCCTTTGGGGACTGGGTCAAAGAGGAAAGAAAGACCACAGCAGCTTTCCAGCTACAGAGCTAGGGATAAGACCAGGGGGATGGGGTCTCAGGAGTAGCTGGAGAAGTGTGGGTCTCCCTTCAGCTTACTTGTTGCCCTGGGTAGAGTGGCCTTAGATCTGAAGTTGCATAGATTTCAGGTGTTAGTGCCTTTCTTTTTTTTTTTTTTTTTTTTTTGCCATGGCTTTTTTCTCCTATGAATGGTATGAATAGTTTATGATCATTTAAAATATAAGGTTTTTAGGAATATAAATGTCATATACATGGAAACACACTACCAGAAATATTTTGGAAAAAATATTTTTACATTCATAGATAGTCATTTTTTTTTTTCAAGCAGGATAAATACAATCACTTTGTATTTCATTCCATAGATAGGAGCTAGCAAAACACAGTTGTAGTTCAAGACAAAATGCCTTTTCAAATTCTTGGCATTGGTTAATGAATTTATTTCCTGGAGTACTTGTTGTCTTAAGCTTTCTGCTCTTATCAGTAAAAATGGAAGATCTTGTTTAGGTTTAGTTCAGCGTTTCCAGACATGGTGGAGTATGACTTTTCAGTGAAGAACCTAAGAGGAACAAGGGAAACACAGTTACATATGCTATTGCTCCTTAGGCTTACACTGCTTTGTGTATATCATCCCTGTTCTTGGTGGTTTTATAGATGATATTAGCATACTTTCATAGGATTAGATCAGAGCCATATTGAGTTTAAGATGCTACTCGGTTGTAGAGCTGTTAAAATGTGTAAAATTATGCCTTGGATTTCATGAACTATGGTATTTTAAATCTAAAGATATTCTAATATCACAGTCATTCACAGTTCTCTGAATCTGGTTATCAAACTTGTTTTTAATATGTGAGGCATGGTTTGGGCTTATCTGTAGTTAACAACATGATTTAATCCTGATAATATGAGACATCTTGAATTGTACCAGGTTTTGTATTTCTGATTTATCTTACTTAGGAAAGGGAATTCTTGAAGAATTATGTTCAACGAATAGTTGATGTTCGACCCACATTGGTTCTCGTTGAGAAAACAGTGTCTCGGATTGCTCAGGACATGTTACTGGAACATGGCATTACTCTGGTCATTAATGTAAAGTCTGTGAGTGTTTGTCTATTTTTACTCATTTACAAAATCATGGCTTTTAAGTTAATATGCATGCATGGTAGGTATGCAGCAATATTTTTATTTGATATAGCACTTATGTTGAAGTGGGACCCGGGTATGGTTGCTACATTATTAAGACTGTAGACTCACACTGGAAGACAGTGTAATTATGTAACTATTCTTTTGGGTGTTTATGAGACCAAATGGACATTACCCATCAGCAAGTACATTATTGGTGCTTCATTCTGCTAAACAGAGGCCACTTTTAAGGAAACTGATTTTTATTTGTTTGTTTTCCCATAATGTCTTTTGCCAACACATGCTATCCAAATGCTCTTTTAATAGATAATAACAAAATGAAGTAAGAATAAAAATAATGTAGTCTCACATTGTACTTCTGGCAGGTCTGGAACTCAGTTATTAAAACAGGCTGACCTCAAACTTGCATTGATCCTCCTGCCTCTTCCTCCTAAGTGCTAGAGGTATACAAGTGTACCACTATGCTACACCCATGTTTTGATAAGAGTACCATGACCATGGTTTGTTTTTGAGGCCACACATTGATTATTTAGCAAGTAAATTTGGCCAAATGTAGAATAAACAAATTGTTGTGCAGTTTATTAAAATTAAAGAATTGATTGTGAACATTATTTTGTTTAATACCTAATGAACTTCTCCAGGTTATTGAGATTTTTACTCATAGCTGATTTAATTTTGTAATACAGTATTTTTCTGTTTTGTAGCAAGTTTTAGAAAGAATCAGTCGAATGACCCAAGGTGATTTAGTGGTGTCCATGGACCAGCTTCTCACCAAACCCCACCTGGGCACTTGCCACAAATTTTATATGCAGATATTTCAGCTGCCTAATGGTGAGTCATCTTAAGCATACATTCACTCAGTTCAGGACCTCCAGGAGAAGTAAATCATCTCCTACTTAACTATCATTGTTTTTTACTCAGGAAGTGTTAATATCTGTTAGCATTGGTTAAGAAGGAGATGTTTAAGGTAGTTTTATTCCTATATGGATTTTCTTTTTTGTGGGTAGTAAATTCTAATTGGTCCTCTAAATTGTTATCTAAGTCTCTTAATATTTATTTATTTATTTATTTATTTATTTATTTATAGAACAAACCAAAACACTGATGTTTTTTGAAGGCTGTCCACAGCACCTAGGCTGCACAATCAAGCTCAGAGGAGGCTCTGATTATGAGCTGGCCAGAGTTAAGGAGATCCTAATATTTATGATCTGTGTAGCTTATCATTCTCAGCTAGAAATCTCTTTTCTCATGGATGAATTTGCTATGCCTCCAACATTAATGCAAAGCCCGCCGTTCCATTTTCTGACTGAGGGACGAGGGGAAGAGGGAGCTTCTCAGGAGCAGGTCAGTGGCAGCTCCCTTCCCCAGGATCCAGAGTGCCCTCTTGATGCCCTGACTTCTGATGATAATACTTTGTTGGAATCAAGGATTGTGCTTGAGAAGGGTGAGCTGGACAATAAAAGTGTTCCACAGGCTGTTGCCTCTTTGAAGCATCAAGAATATACCACCCCGACTTGCCCAGCAGGTATCCCCTGTGCTCTCTTTGCATTGGTACCTGAGTCATTGTTGCCTCTCCATATGGATCAGCAGGATGCTGTAGGAAATGAACAGCCAGAGGCATCACAGCAAACAGATGAGCAACAGGATTCCAAAAGCCAAATGAGAGCTTTTCGAGACCCTCTACAAGATGACACTGGAATGTATGTTACTGAGGAAGTCACTTCCTCTGAAGATAAACGAAAGACTTACTCCTTGACATTTAAACAGGAATTAAAAGACGTGATCCTCTGTATCTCTCCAGTTATTACATTCCGAGAACCTTTCCTTTTAACTGAAAAGGGGATGAGGTGTTCAACTCGAGATTATTTTCCAGAGCAGATTTACTGGTCTCCTCTTCTCAACAAAGAGGTGAAGGAAATGGAGAGCAGGAGGAAGAAACAGCTGCTCAGGGATCTCTCTGGACTTCAGGGCATGAATGGCAGTGTTCAGGCCAAGTCTATTCAAGTCTTACCCTCACATGAGCTAGTGAGCACCAGGATTGCTGAACATCTGGGTGATAGCCAGAGCTTAGGTAGAATGCTAGCTGATTATCGAGCTAGAGGAGGAAGAATTCAGTCAAAACATTTGGACCCTTTTGTTTATTCAAAAGATGTATCATGTACTTCAAGTGGCAAAGCAGGAAATAAAACTGAGAGTGATGAAGAGAGGGGGTTGATTCCAAGTGATGTCTTATGGCCAACAAAGGTAAGACGTCACTCTTGACTGGGGAAGATTAGAATGTTTTGTCTGTGGAAAAACTACTGAGGCAAGATTTAAAAAAAAAAAAACAATATGACAAATTACATGCAGACTTATTATTTATTCTTCTGTTAATTTTCTTCTTGAGTCAGGTAGCTTATATATGAAGTAGAAAAGTGGATTCATAAGGCAACAAAACTGGGATTTTAGATTTTTATATGCTCTTGTAGTAAAGTAAGAAGGCCTTGAACTAAGGGAAAGTGTGCAGTTGTTTGAAGTTTCTGTCTGTATTGCTTATGTGTGATAATGATGTAGCTCTTGATATTTTTCAGTGCTATAAGATAGGTCTTGTTTTTGTTTTAGTTTCTTTTCCCTTCTCCCTCCCCCCCTCTCCCTCTCTCCCTCCCTCCCCTCCCTCTCTTCCTCTTCCTCCTTCTCTCCTCCCTACCCCACCTCTCTTTTTCTTTTTTTGTTGCTGTGATCAAATACCCTGACAAAAAGACAGCTTATGGAAGAGTTTATTTAGCTTGCAATTCTGGGTTAACAGCCCATCACATAAGGGCAAATAAAAGTAGCAGGAACTTGGAGTAACTTAAGATACCATGACCACAGAAGAGCAAAGAGAAAGAAACACGTATGTGCTGCCTGCTTGCTTGTGTTCAGTTCTATTTCTCAGTACTTAAACAGTTCAGGACCTTTTACTAGGGAATGGTGCCACCCACAGTGGACTGGTCTTCTCACATTTTAACTTAAGACAATCACTCAGATATGCCCATCTTCCAACCGAGTATAGATAATCCTTCATTGAGACTCTCTTCCCAGTTGATTTTAAGTTGTGTCAAGGTTACAAAGCTAATCTTCACAGGTCTCATTATGTGATACTGACTGATCTTGAGTTCATAATCTTGCCTGTACCTCCTTAATGCTAGGAGTACACACACACACACACACAACACACACACACACACACACACATCTTTCTAAGAGTAAAAATTATGTATTGTTATTTAACTATATCTGTTTAGATAGAAATTAAAGATGTTTAAGGAAGATTTACTTGTGGATGTGTACATTACTAACATTGAAACTTACGAAGAAGTCTTTCATTCGATGTAATGCAGTTCTGTAATACAAAAAAATCTAGTTTCACTGTTAGTCAAGGAAGTGCTAAATGGTGGTGCTAAACAATTGTTTGTGAGACTCACACACAGAACCATAGTGAGAGTCAAGAAATTTTGAATGCTTCTGTATAAGTTTATAGACAGTGATGAGGATATTTACATGTACCATCTTATTTTACATGTACATTTATACACCTGTGACTCAGGATTCCAACTCCTCTATTCTTGAATGATTTAAGTATATCTGTGTGAGGATGCTTTTAAGAATACATATAAGATTGTTTGTTGAAGCACTTTTTTATATCCACTTTGTTTTGTAGTTAAAAGGATTACATTATGTTTTGCAGATGTAACAAATACTTGACATTAAACAATTTAAGGTAGTTTATTTTAGCTCATGATTTCATAGGCTTCAGTCCATACTCCTTCCATTATTCATCGTAGCTGGAGTCTGGCAGAGGCTATTTACTTCACAACAGACAAGAAGCAGAGAGAAATCCAGGGCCTGGGATAAGATACAACCTTCAGGGAGACTCTTCCAGTGACCTACTTCCATGTAGGCCCCACATTATGGTTTCTAGAACATCTAACATAGCATCCCAGTTGAGGAAGAAACTTTAAATACAGTATTCTTGGGTATGAGCATCATTCATATTCAACATATATCAAAGGATATGTTGACCAATATATGAACTGTATAAAACTCATGATAACTTCTGAACTACTAAAAAGCATGTCATGGGCCGGGCAGTGGTGGCGCACGCCTTTAGTCCCAGCACTTGGGAGGCAGAGGCAGGCGGATTTCTGAGTTTGAGGCCAGCCTGGTTTATTTACAGAGTGAGTTCCAGGGCAGCCAGGGCTACACAGAGAAACCCTGTCTCGAATAAAAACAAACAAAAAAAGCAGGTCATGGAATTAATTCCATGAATGATTTTTTTAAAAAAATACAACTTTAAAGTTTTGCTATAATAGAATAAAACATGGATATATTTTACCGTGTCCTCAAAAAAGCAAGTTATATTAATTCATTTTTGTAGCATGTCTCATTTTAGTGAAAACAAAATCTCCTTTGTATATGTATGTATGTATGAACATGTGTGATTGTGCACATATGTATATTTGAACAGTGTGAATAGACAAAAAAGAGTAGTTTTTCTTTTGGTATTTGTTGGTTTGAAATAGGGCTTCTTGTAGGCTGGCGTCAGACTCAAGATCTAGTTGAGGAAGATATTAAACTCTTGATCCTCTTGAGTCTATCTCCCAAGTGATGGGATTTCATGCATGTACCACCATGTTGGTCTAAGTGGCTAGTTAGGTGTGTAAACTACATAGTTTGATAGGCAGAGTGGCATCTAAGGAGGAGGAACTTTACCTCTACTACTTGAATTTTAACAGGGAACAGGAAAAAGCACAGGTGAAAAAAAATCTCAGAATTTAAATCTCTAGGCACCATGGATTGATACCATGTCCGTCTATCAGGTCATTATCATTTCAGAGGAATATATTTTAACTAATTTGTCCTTCCAAAATATAATATAATTTTGAAAAAATGGAATGTTTATATAAACAGTTAAGAATCCAACTTCTTAGTACTCTTCCCCTTTCAAGCCCAGCTATACCCAGCTTTGGGTATAACTAAGGCCTCATTTATGTTATACTCCAACCCCTGTTACTTTACACTTAAGATTATCTTAGAATTCTGAAATAGTCTGTGTTCGAAACCCAGCTGCTCTTATAGCTAGCCTTTTGTAAGTCTTCACAAGCATCCAGCAGTGATAACAGAAGACTTTACTGAGTGCAGTGTGTTCTGTGTCAGTGAATTGGTAGGAGCTGTGTTCCGTCTCAGATGCTCATCTGTTGCTTGTTCTGCAGGTGGACTGTCTGAATCCTGCTAACCACCAGAGGCTCTGTGTGCTCTTCAGCAGCTCTTCTGCCCAGTCCAGCAATGCTCCCAGTACCTGTGTCAGTCCTTGGTAGGATTCTTGTCTGCACTATTGCACCTAGTAGTGGAATTCCAACAACATAACAACTAATGCCTGCTTTTAGTTATGACACAGTGATGGTTGCATGTGAATTGATAGAATATTTAAACTTAGGAAGTAACTGGAAGGTGTTTTGTTCATGGATAAGTAATTGTACCTTAAGTAAGAATGAACAAACTCGGAAAGAAGAAAGAGAAATGTTTGTATTACAGAACTTACAAAATTGACCCATGAAAGCTGGTTTTTGAAACCAAAAATCTACATTTTGATTATAGCCATACAATTTAGGTAGGTTTTCCCTTTGCATAAGTTTTATAAAAACAGTCAGCCTTTTATCTTACTGTTTATAAGTTCTGTCACTGAATTATACTACCAGACCAACCTTTTGTCTCATTAGAGTATTCTTGCAAACATCTAAGTGAAGTTTTAGAGACCAACACATTTTATAATGTTGTAATATTTCTAGTGATAGTCATAAAGACCTTACATGCCTGTCTTAGGTTTTTTTTGTTATGTTAAAAAATTACCTGTTAAAAGCAGCTTAAAGGAGAAAGGGTTATTTGACTCATAGTTCAAGGATACAGTCTGTCATGGCAGGGAAAGTCATAGAAGTTGTAGCTTTAAGTAACTGATCATAGGAAGTCAGCATTCAGGAATAGAATGTATGCTGGATGCTGTGCTGAGCTTCACTCCCTTTCTCACTATTGTTTGTTTGTTTTTGGTAGTGCTGCTTCCATAATAAAACATTTATTTCCAACAAAAAGATTTTTCTAAAAACTTGTGTAGTTCCAGGACAACTTTAAGCATGATTTTCTGAAAGTTCATAGAGGTTTTTACCCTTAGAAATTAATGGAGTCTTTAGGTAATACTTAGGATACAGATTTTAACAAGCATACATGCAAAGTTCCTAATTTTGGTTAGTTGTGAGTCAGGTAAGCTAGGAGTTGGCTCTTAACGAGAGTGAGAGCTGTTTTCCATACTCAATGACTAGAGGGCAGAGGGGCACAGTCTTTTTTTTCTCCCCAGTTTTGATGGGGATTGAAACTGAAAGATGATTTTACCTCTTCCTAATGCAAATCAGTTTTATTCCATTTATTTTATAGTTTATGCATTCTTATTAAATGATTTTTTAAGATACTAACGGAATAGTAGTGGAAACTGCTATAGTGTGGCATCTACACTTGTTTGACAGAATGAGGTAAAACCTGTTCCACATTATCATCAGATACATTTTTCTTTAGTACTTCATCATAAGCATATTTAATAATTAAAATATGGTCTTGGTGGTAATGTTGCCATATTTCTAAGAAATCATCTCTTCTTTTAGGATTGTAACAATGGAGTTTTATGGAAAGAATGACCTTACACTGGGAATATTTTTAGAAAGATACTGTTTCAGGTAAAAGCTGATTTCTTCCGTATGATTTATTATGTTTTTGTTTTGTTTTGTTTTGAGAAAATGTCTCTCTCTCTCTCTCGCCCTGGCTGGCTTGGCCCTGTCTCTGTAGACTAGGCTGGTCTGGAGCTCACAGAGATCTGCCTCCCAACTGCTGGATTAATTATTATGCAGTTTTGAAGTCCAGAATTTCAAGCTAAACCTTTTGAGTTGAATATCAAGTATTGTTGATGGTTCTTGTTTTTATACCACATGTCAGAGTGTATCTTTACAATGACATAATTTGTTTTATACTTAACTGGGGAGCTCTTGTGTTATATATTTCTTGTATCTTTGCTTGTCTAGTCTTTCTGCCATCCCAAGACTTTTTTAGTATGTCTACATTTATATAGTGGTTCAGGTGAGAAGCAGGCTTGGGAGCAGCTCAACGTTAGTTTATGTTTCATTGGTGTTTCCAGTTCAGTTTCACAGCATGGCATGAACGATTTAATGTTACCAGCTTCTTTTGCAGGGAAAAGTCCTTAGAAATGTCTGGGTTTTACTGTTGTTTGAAATTGGACGTTAGAGAAGGTGTTCTGACAAATGAGAACTGCTACCGTGCTTCAGTTTAAGACAGCTTGGAGCCGTGTGCATCCTGCTCAGATTGTGCACTGTCTGTCATTCTTCTAGAGCTGCTGCAGTACTTTCTTGGTTGTGGCTATGATCATTCAGTGCTTGCTGTGTGGACTCTGTTTCATATTTAATGTGAGAAAGATTTTCTTATTTATCCCAGGTCTTCTTACCAATGTCCTAGCATGTTCTGTGACACCCCCATGGTTCATCACATTCGTCGCTTTGTTCATGGCCAAGGCTGTGTACAGATAATCCTGAAGGAGCTGGATTCCCCAGTGCCTGGATATCAACATACAATTCTCACATATTCCTGGTGCAGAATCTGCAAACAAGTATGTGCAGCTATTGACATATTTCCTGTGACATTTCTTTCTGTTTGTATAGTTCTTTGGGGAAATGTACAGTCAGTAGGTTTTTGAACTTTGTCATTATAATCTTCACATAACCTTCTAGTGCTATATGCTTAACCTAAACTTTAAACTTCACTGAAGGAATATATGTCATTATATAAAATATGTATGCCTTATCCTAGAAATATATTGTAATTATATTTTGATAACTTCCATATGTTAATTTAGCAGACACTTCTTTCTGTTTTCTAGGTATTATTTTGCTAACCTTAGGAATAGAAAGAGAATAAGGAATGGCTTGTAGAGGAGGAAATAGACTTATAAAGCAGTAACTACAGTGTATTAAGCTATTTACCTAACAAATCTGAGTCTATATCAACAACTGTTCTGAAAAAATGTAGATGCAGCTTTGTTGAAAATGGTCTGTATTGGTTTTTATATCAATTTTTAAAAAAATGACATGGATGTGTATTTAATTTTTTTTGAACTATCTCTTCTAACTCAAAAAAAATGATTTGATGTCAGTATTGTGACTCTTTTTATTTGCTTTTTTTTTAATTAAATGGGTTCAATCCATCTTTGGAGAAGTGGCATGGGATTAGGTTTATGATTTATTTATTTATATAATTTTATTTATTTACATATTTATGTAATTTTATGTGTATATGTGTGTGGCCAACTCTATGTATATACATGAGTAGGCTAAATGAGGGCTTTAGATCCCCTGAAACTGGAGTTAATGGTGGTTGTTAAGTGGAGTATTCTTAACTGCTAAGCTATCTCTCTAGCACCAGGATTATGGTTTTTTTTTCTTTGTGTGTGTGTGTTTTACATTTACTTTTTATATACATGAATGTTTGCCTTCATGTATGTTGTATACCATATGTATGATTAGTGTTCAAGAAGGTCAGAAAAGGGAGTTGAATCCCCTGAAACTGTAGTTACACATGGTTGTGAGACACCGTGTAGATGCTTAGATCAAACCCTGGGCCCTCTGGAGTAACAGTCAGTAATCTTTTTTTTTTTTTTAACTGCTGAGCCATCTCTTCAGTCCCTATAACATTTTAAATACAAACTGTTCAGATTTAAGTGAATATGTATTAAAATTGCCTTCATTATTATCTTGATGTATTTTGAAGTGTGATTGGAAAGTATTTATGAGAATTGTAGATAAAAGTGTGTTTGTTAGTATAACCCTTGAGAATGGAGACATGAGTTTTCTTTATGAGCTGGGGTCTTACTGACCTGTAGTGATTTGTAGTAATCAAAGTCTCCCATACTTTCTTGTATGTGTGTTAGTGGATATCAGGCTATACATGCTAGGCAAGTGCTTTATAATTAAGCTAGGTCCCATCCTTATTTTTATACCCATAGGCCTTTTGATCTTGGTCCCATTAGACAGCTTGTAGCATTTTGTTGTGAACTCTAGAGATTAGGGGTTCTCAACCATCCTAATGCTGTGACCCTTTGATGCAGTTCCTCATGTTGTGGTTATCCCCAACCATTAAATTATTTTTATTGCTGCTTCATAACAACAGTAACAATGTACTATTATTAGGTATTGTGTTGTAAATATCTGTGTTTTTCAATGGTCTTAGGTGACTCCAAAGGTGCCACCTTTGAGAACCACTGCTGTATATTGTATATTGAATGTTGAATTAGATGAAGAGTTAAATTTTAGTGTGTTTTCCATGCTTTGGTTTATGCACTTAAGATTTTTAAAAAAATTAATGGGGTTATGCTAAAGAAAAAGCATTATACATACAGTAAAAGCTTCTAGCTGAGGAAAATGTAATGTTGAATTTTTTAAGCCACAGTAGTATAAAAAGAGGGTAAAGAGTACAACAAAGTAATTTAATGCAAATGGACAGTAAATATGCAAATAAAATTTATTCATTAATGTAGTTGAAGTATAAATAAGCCAAATATACATGAAATAAGAAAATGCCTTTTTTAAAAAAAAAGACATAACATTTTAAAGATGAATAACTTGTAGGATTGGTAGGAAGATGAGGGAGTTGGTATTTCAGTTAATGTCGTTGAAAGTGTGTGTAAATGAATGCACCTGAGTTAGAAGGAAGTATGGTAAAATGACTATTGCCCTTTGATCAGTTATTCATTGCCCACTATTACTGATTTTATCCTAAGGGAATAATTTATGTCTATTTCTGAGTGTGTTGATAAGGAAGACCTATCTATTTCAAATGCCAGTCAGTGGGAACCAGGTAAGTCTGTGAACATGGACCTGTGGCCATTTCAAAAGTTGTAAAGAAGGAAAGTAAGCAGTATACAGGCAGATTGACGGTGCAGAGGTTACTGCAGCTGTTCTTTAGTATACAGTATACAGTATACAGTATACAGGCAGATTGATGATGATGGGGTTACTGTAGCTGCTCTTCTCTTAGTCTCCCAGTCAAATCCAGCTTGAAGAGTTTATTCTTTTCCTAGGTTTTTTTTTTCCACCTCAGTCTGAATATGTTGTTTGTCTTGAAAAATAGATACATCTTTCAAAAGTGAGATTCTTAGTCTGTAATTTATTACCTCCCCCCTCCCACCCACTCCCCCCCCCCCGAACTTCAGGTAACACCAGTTGTTGCTCTTTCAAATGAATCCTGGTCTATGTCATTTGCAAAGTACCTTGAACTTCGATTTTATGGCCACCAGTACACACGCAGAGCTAATGCTGAGCCCTGTGGTCACTCTATCCACCATGATTATCACCAGTATTTTTCTTATAACCAGATGGTGGCATCTTTCAGGTAAGAAGGCAAAGGATCATGTGTATTATCACATTCCTTCTTTCTTTTTCTTTTTTCTTTTTCTGTTTTCTTTTTCTTTTTTTTTAAATATGGAGCGCTTCACGAGTTTGTGTGTATCCTTGCTCAGGGACCATGCTAATCTCTGTATCGTCCCAATTTTAGCATATGTGCTGCCGAAGCGAGCACCACATTCCTTATAGATAGAACACTTCCAGTATTGGATTGAATTTGGGCATATATGTCCTCCCCTGTCTATAACCTTGCAAATGCAGAGGGCTGTACTTTTAAGAACTTTTAGTGTTAGTTACCCTTTATCCCAAGAACTATGTAGTATTGTTATTCTATTATAAGCTGTCAGTGATGGGAATCATGGTTTAAACACTGGTTGATTTTCTGTTTCCTGACTCACTCTGGACCATTGCTTTTGGCATCTGAAAGTCTGAGAATTTTCCTGAGATATTAGTTACCACAAAGATCCTAAGATACTTCTAACAAAGCTAAAATTCCAAGTTCAAGGAATAAATACTCATTGTTACCATATCAACTGTGATAATACCTTAAGCTCTGTCCTCAGAAACTAGTAATACCAACACTTCACTGCCCTAAGACTTGCCACTGTGGCTAAGTCTCTTGTTTTAGCAGGAGATTATCACAGTAGCTCTGGGCAGACTTCCTTAGTCTTACTCCTGTAGCTGGCTCTCAGCTCTGTTCAGCAGTCAAAAGTGACCCTATTACAGGAAAATCAGCTGTTCTCTACTGTGCTCTAGAAATTCCAAAGGTATCTGGTTTGCGAAGTAGTGGCCAGAATCCATTTTCTGGCTTATAAACCCTTACAAACTCTGGTTGCCCAAGGGCTGTGTTCTCACCTCCTACTGCTCAAGTCTCACTGGCTCTGGCCTGCCCTCTGCTGCCAGGTAGGTACTTACCTGGGAGCCTTGTACTTATCCTTCCTTCTCTCAGCTGCTTGTTTCTCAGATACCTACCTGTTGTTTCCTTACTTACCAGAGCTCTCTATTTAGGTCTTATCTGTCAAGTACTCCATGCTTCATTCTCTGTTCATTGTTTTTTTTCCCATAGAGCTCTGATAAAGATGCTTTAATGCTTATATTTTAATGTTTAGTTCATTATTCCTAAGTTTCGAGGGCAGGAATTTTGGTGCTGTATTCTAGGCACTTAAAACAGTATCTCACACAATATACTCATGAAGTATTTATTAATTAGAATTTTCTTTTAAAAACAAGGGCTTTTAACCATAAATGTAGGATGTAGGTTGAGTATAGATAGCACTTACTAGTATATATCTCAAGTAGAAAGGAAGTGAAGACGCATGAAGAAACCTCAAGAGCTCAGGGTTAATAAGTACCTATTTAACTTTTTAAATTTCTTCAGATCCATAGCACAAGTTTGCGTTAAAGTCATTGCTGTTTTTATGGCAGATGGCCCCTCAGAGGGATAAATAACAGCATCATAGTGCAAGGATAAACCAAAATCCTCTCAATATTGGGAAAGATATTTCTGGTGGTTGAAAGTTTTTTTTGTCTTTATGAAACTTAATTTTATAGAAAACATTATTTTCTCTTATGTTCATTAGAATTTAATTGATCATTTGCATACATATGTATATGCGCTGTATAAATTATTAAAATAGTTTTCATCTTTTCCTGTTACTGTTTTTTCCTCAGTTATTCTCCTATTCGGCTTCTTGAAGTATGTGTTCCACTCCCAAAAATATTCATTAAGCGTCAAGCCCCACTGAAGGTATCTCTTCTTCAGGATCTCAAGGACTTTTTTCAGAAGTACGTTTTAGTTGATTTGGTCATGTTTATAATCCATGTTAATTATCAGGTTTACTCATTTAACTCTGTTTTTGAAATGTGAGTAGCTTTCCTTTTTTAATTATAGATAGTATGTGCTCAGTGTGAAAATTAACGTAGGAGAGTACCTCTAAAACATAACTGACAACCTAAAAATTTGAAGTAAATCTAAATCCTTTGATGCCTTGTTTTGCTTTGCAAAATTCCATATGATTTTTTTGCTGAGAATTCATTTTAGTTATAGTTTCATACAAAATGCCTTTCCCCTAGTTTCTATGGGATAGTTTGATTTCAGCTCCTCTAACATGAGTGCTGCTCTGTCATCACTTTTAGGGTTTCACAGGTGTACCTAGCTGTTGATGAGAGACTTGCATCCTTGAAAATGGATACATTTAGCAAAACTAGAGAGGAAAAGATGGAAGATATCTTTGCACAAAAGGAGGTAATTGTTTCTTTTATAGAAAATCTGGAAACTACTGTTTCTAAGAAGCCCCTCTGTTTCTGTGGTGTCCCAGCTTACCAAACTTGGATCTGTTGCCTTCCAGATGGAAGAGGGTGAGTTTAAGAACTGGACTGAGAAGATGCAAGCAAGGCTCATGTCTTCCTCTGTGGATACCCCTCAGCAACTGCAGTCCATTTTTGAGTCACTCATTGCCAAGAAGCAAAGCCTCTGTGAGGTGCTCCAAGCGTGGAACAGCAGGTAAGGCTTTGTTGGGTCTTTGTTGATAGCATTGCCAAATTTGTTCTACCATAGTATTTCAAAAGTTATTTTCTGTTTTTGGGGACCAAACCAAGGCAATGCATTTGTTAGGCAGTGCTTTGTTACTTGGTTAAATCTCTGATCCCAGTTTTTAAATTTAAATATCCTTGTTGATTATAGATGCTCCATTTTCTTAGTTATAAAGGGATTTATTTATTTACTTATTTATTTACTTATTTTTGGCCTTTGTTCTAGTCATCCTTTAAAACAGCCTTTACATAGTTTGTTAAGATAAGAGGAAATAGCCCTTATTGCTGTTTCAAGTGTATGTGCTACTGAGTGAGACTGAACTAGATCAGTGTGCTGTGAATCATCTTTGTCTATTGTAATAATTCAGTAGTGGCTATGTACAACTTTAAAGTCTATTACAAGAAAAAGTTTATAAGTATAATTTAAGGTACTGAAAACAAAACCATGTTCTTTTTGCCTGTGGCTATAGGTTACAGGACCTTTTCCAGCAGGAAAAAGGTAGAAAGAGGCCTTCGGTTCCTCCCAGTCCTGGGAGACTGAGACAAGGTGAAGAAAGCAAGGTAATAAAGTGTTGCATTGTCTTTGTTGTTTCACTGATAGAAATATAGTTAATTCCATTTCTAACACTTAGGAGTAGCAGTTTAATGCATAAAGTTTTCTGTCATGTGTGAATTTTCAGATACATATGCTCTGGATTACTTTTATATTTTAATACATATTAAAATAATATGTTAATTATTTATTTGAGTATTTGTAAAAAGGCTGCTCTACCTGAGACAGTATAGAAGATATAACAGAGGAAAAGAAGAGCTCTGGTTTCTCAGAGTATATAGTAGAGTTCTCAGTCTTTATTTTTCTTCCTTTAAAAAAAACATAGTTGTTTACTTTTGATGGCATGAGTGCTTTTGCCTACATGTATGTATGTTCATCTTGTATACGCCTAGTATGAGACCTTTTTGAGTACAGTCAGTAGACATAAACTTGAAAATACGTTATCACCCAGTAGGTGATCTGCTTTAGGGAAGTAGAAAATTACTTGAAATTCTGTTGCACGGCCTTTTTGATAAATTGTTTTGAATGCTTTTTTTAGGTTTAGGCATTTTTTCTAGGTTACATGGCATGAATTTGTGAACAGGCTATAGTTACAAGCTGTAATTACTATCTCATGAAACATTTGCCTGGTTAGAAAGAAACTGATAAAAAATACATAGACTCATAAGAAAACACATGAACTCATACGGATTTAGTGACTATTAGAAGATTGTAGAAAACCCTAAAAGAAAGTAGAATTTTGGTGATAGAGTAGTTAACAGTGGTGGATTATTTTATGTAAGATACAAATAAAGATTTCTGTGGTATAGTAGGTAATCTTTACTGAATAAGAAATGACTCCTAACTAAATTCTCTGTGGGACTTGTAGCCATTCTAATCTGTGATGTTCATGGAGAATCAGACCTAAGAAGGGTCAGTGGATGGATTACATAAGAGATGAGTAGGCTTACTTGACAAACACAAGTGTTCCTAGATGTATGTGTGCCAAGATGTGAGCTCCCGTTTACAACAATATTCTCAAAGTATGGGTCCATGTCTGCCGGTTTTCTCTTTATAAACTGCATATCTGTTTAAAGCCAGGATTGGTGTTGTCTCAGTAGAGTAAATACAGAATCTAGATGTCTTATAGTTAGCCAGATATCGAAGATGTTTCTGAACATGTAAAACAGTGATACTCTTCATTAGTGCTCTTTTTTCTTTAAATTTTGGAAAATAGCTTTACTCTTCAGGTAGTTTTTATATGTATGTTTTATAAATAGAGTTATTTTAATTGAACCAGTAGATGCCATTTAAGAATGTACTCAGGTTTAATTAAAGTGGCAAGAGCCGGGCTGGTGAGATGGCTCAGCGGTTAAGAGCACTGACTGCTCTTCTAGAGGTCATGAGTTCAAATCCCAGCAACCACATGGTGGCTCACAACCATCTGCAATGAGATCTGATGCCCTCATATGGGTGTCTGAAGACAGCGACAGTGTACTTACATATAATAAATAAATAAATCTTTAAAAAAAAAAAATAAAGTGGCAAGAGCCACTTTAAATTATCAAGAGATAATATTTTAGTGGAAGCAGGTCCTAAGTTCAAAAATTTCAAGATTCATGGGGCTAGATTACTTTTAAAATATGATTTTAAAAAATGGATTCTTAAGAATAGCATACTTATTTCTCTATAGATAAGTGCAATGGACACATCTCCAAGGAATATTTCTCCAGGACTTCACAATGGAGAAAAAGGTTGGTCTTCAGTATGGTGACCTTTTGCTCTTGCCTTTAAGGAGATTTTTGCTTTGTAATTGCTTTTAAGTGCTAATGTGAGCAATATTTTCTAACACACTTGTCCATAGTCATTTCCGACTCCTTATAGAACATTCTAGTTCTTACTGGTCTGAGGCTGGCCTACAGTGTGCTATAAGCACATTAAGGAAGATGTAAGATAAGCACACAGTGTATCGAGGGCGGCCATGAGGAGAAGAGCAAAACCTGACGCTAACTTTCTCTTTTGCTTATGCTGATCAGCCTCCCTGGTGTATCGAAAGGCTCTATCTTAGCATGATTAATTTATATTTTACATCATTAAATTATTTTTTAGATTTAAGATTTCTTTCTTTAGTAACTTGGTGCCATCTTGGAACTGGGAAAATTTACATAGGCTGACTACTGCAAAGAAATTACCATTTTAAAAAATATTTTTCTATAATAATATAACAATATTTTTCCTCTCTTAGGATAAAGTTTCCCCATAGTGTTCTAATTCCATTCTCTGTTAAGCTGAGTAATATTTAGGTAAACAATGTAGCATTGTTGGGTAGAGGTCAGAATTGGCTGACATGGTTTTGTCACCAAGATTTGGTTGTGGTTAAGTCATAGAATCTTTACGGATTTTTGTGTCAATTTCTATGTCACGAGTTACATGACCTAGATAATTTTTTTTATTGAACATTTTATTTATTTACATTTCAGATGTTATCCCCTTTCTCCATCTCCCCCACCCCAGAAACATCCTATCCCATCCCTACTCCTCCTGCTTCTATGAGGGTGTGCCCCAACCCATCCACACCCACCTCCCCACCCTAGAATTCTCCCACACTGGAGCATCCAGCCTTCATGGGACCAAGGATCTCCTCTCCCACCTATGCCCAACAAGGCCATCCTACCCGACAAATACAGCTGGAGCCATGGGTCCCTCCCTATGTGCTCCCAGGCTGGTGGTTTAGACCCTGGGAGCTCTGGTTGGTTGGTATTGTTGCTCTCCCCATGGGGCTACAAACTCTTTCAGCTCCTTCAGTCTTCTCTCTAACTCCTTCATTGGGAGCCCTGTGATCAGTTCAATGGTTTTTGAAAAGGTAAAATTTCAGTTTTAACAAGTAGAAATAAATGATTTTTGCAGTTAAATATTATGAGTACTAATTAGGTGATGTGGACTTTTTGTTTTAATGACTCATTTAAGATTGTGTGTTTGTTTAGAGGATCGCTTCTTGACAACCCTGTCCAGCCAGAGCTCTACGAGCTCCACCCATCTCCAGCTGCCCACTCCTCCTGAGGCCCTGTCGGAGCAGTTAGTGGGAGGGCCCTCTGACCTAGATACAGCCAGTGGCTCTGAAGGTAAGGTGTGGGCCACATTTTACTCAACTTCATTGAATCTAAGACTGAGATTATTCCTTGCTTTATATATGTCTCTGAAAAAGAAGAACATGCTAATTCTTTGACATGATGCTTTCTTAGTCTTTAGAATTGTTTATCTCATTTTTGTTTAAAGTATATTTTTAAGGGGCTGAAGAAATGACTCAGTGGTTTTGAGCACCTGCAGCTCTTCCAGAGGATTGGGATTGATTCCTAGAGTCCACATGTTAGCTCACAACTGTTTGTAATTTCTGTCCCAGGGAATTTTTTTCTTGCTCTTCTGACACCTCTCCTTGGATACCAGTCAAGCATGTGGTGCACATATACATATACAGGCAAGACACTCATGCACATAAAGAATAAAGCATTTCAAAGTACCTTTTTAAACAAAGTTTTTCATTTTGTCCCTCCGTCTATTAGTAGTACTACTTGACATGCACCACTTTGTGTATGTAAATGTTCTAGTAAGACAGTGTTATTCAATGTTATTTACCTTTGGGGGGTGTCTTTTTTAAGGTATGTAAAATGTATTATTTCTTTATTAGGTGAAACAAATTTCTGCCAGGTTTTTTTTTTTAACAAACATCTGTATTATAAAGCCCATACCTTCTCTCTTTCCCTGTGTTTTTGTTAAGCAATAACTACTTTAAACTTTGGGTCACTTTACCACTGCTAATAAGCTCTGGTGTAACAGCCAGAGGGCACATTCCTCAGTTGGAGTACAGTGCTGTGATGACAGCTCGTTCATGGTCAGACAGAAATTTCCTTATGGATCCTGCGGTGGGAAGAGAGTCCTGAAACAAGATGATCTGAGTGTCAGGTGTGAGGACTTACACACGTCTCTCTGAACCAGTGTCGAGTAGATTTCACTCTTGCCATTTCATGTCCTAAGAGCTGCTTTCTTAGACCAGAAACTGGAAGCCGTAGTTTATATCTGTCTATAGTCTGAAGAGAAAGTGAAATAAAACAGACACTTTTTCTCTTTGTTTTTCCTGAATGTTAATGTAAAAGTGGAATGTGTTTTATCCTAGATGTATTTGATGGGCATTTGCTGGGATCCACAGACAGCCAGGTGAAGGAAAAGTCAACCATGAAAGCCATCTTTGCTAATTTGCTTCCAGGAAATAGCTATAATCCCATTCCGTTTCCTTTGTAAGTATTTCAGAACCAAGTGTCATTCTCACTACTTATTCCCTACATATATAGATCAGTTTATCTGCAAATATGGTTAAGACTAAGTTTATACCGTCTTAGTAAAAGAGACGGCTTTTGGCATGTGATTTTTAGAATGTTCTATCATAGAGAATGAAAGACAAAAGCATTAATGTTGTTTAGTGTGTAAAGGCATTAGTTATAAAAAAAGATACACAACATATATGTATCTATATAAAGATGAGTGCTATACCCATTGATGTTTTTAAAAACTTATTTAAAACTTTTGCTTGTATGAGGGGTGGTGTGTGTGTGTGTGTGTTATATATGTATATGCAAGTAAGTACCCATGTACAGAGGCCAGAGAGAGACATTAGGTGTCTGGTCATATCACTCTCTACCCAAGTTCTTTGAGACAAGGTATTTGACTGAACTCATAGCTAGGCTGATGCCCAGCAAACTCTGGTGATCCTCTTGTCTCTGTCTCCCTTAGTACTGGGATCACAGACATGTATGGTCATACCTGGCCTTTTATATGGGTGCTAGTGATTTGAGCCATCTCTTTAGTCCACATTCATTTATCTTTAAAAGATATATTGCTGGGTGTATATATATGAGTATATTCATTGTAACAGGATACTGATAAGGAGCAAAATGGCCCATGCATGTTTTCATATTTTTTTATGCTGTATTCACTCAGACAGGAAAGAAATATATAATGGTTGTAAAAGCTTGTTTTTCTACTGGTTGACCTGTCTGGCATCAAATGCTGCCTTTGTTTTGGTGGTACAAGTTCATCCAATTCATTTGTTAATAAGGACCTTTGTTTTTATTCAGTAGTAATTAAGTTTCTATTTAGTGACTGTCCCGCCCCCCCCCCCCCATGGAGTGCATTGCTCTTACGAGTTTATGGCCTTGAGGGAGGAGATAAGAAGACACTCAGACAGTTTAGGATACATCACATGGTAGTCAGATATAAAGGCTCGTTTTCTCAGGTCTGAATGTCTGTTTCTTCAGTGTCTTTTGTTGCTTCCTATTAATGGCCTTCGTGTTCTTACCATCTTTCGTAATCTGGAAGTTGTGTTCTTTTCTGAAGACAACTTTACTAGATGGTCCTTCTATGCCCCAGTACTAACAGAATAGGCCTCTATGTTTTGTTAGGATTCTTATCTTAGTTTAGGCTGCTATAATGAGTTTCCATATATTGGTTTGCTTATAAACGATAAAAACATATTTCTCACAGTTCTGGAGGCTGGAGGATCAAGCTCATGTCTGCAGGGTAGATCCTGAGGGTCCTTGTTCAGGCTGTCCTCACATGGTGGAAAGATAGCTCACTTGTCCCTCTTGTCAGGGACACTACTCCCATTTAGGATGTCTTCATCTTTAGGATCTAAAGGCACCGTCTCCTAAAACCATGACACTGGGGCTAGGGTTTCAACCTAGGATTTGGAGAACAGGAGTTAAACACTCGTCTGCAAACAAGTCTCTTACTACATTTATCACAGAGAGTTATTGTATTTATTTACAGACTTGTTTCTTTACTCCTGTGTACTACAAACTTAACCTGTTTCGTTCTCACCGGTGTATTGTTAACCATGTACACGCATGGAAAATACTGAAATAGGAGTTTTCCTCAATGCTGTTTTTCTCCCATATTGGATAGTCAGTAAATGGCATGTAAGGTAAAGTCAGTGACTCTACCTAATGGTTGCCAGCAGAGTTGGAGCAGAAGTCAGAGAGCAAAATTTGGGTTGAAGTAGAGTCAGCGCTCGGTTTCTGAGTGATGACAGTAGAGTGGTTTTGTTGTCTTATTTGCTGTGGAACTGTCAGCACAGTTTCTGTATAATTACTGGGAGGCATTCTCTGAGGCTAGAAACAGAACATGAATTTAGACTATTTATTGCATACTCCTTTTTGAAACTAGTATGGCCAAGGTCTTGATAGTATGTAAAGCTTTGGAGTAACTATTCTAGAACCCTCCGATTTGAAACCTGTTTCTTTTTTTAATGTTTATTTTATGTATATGGGTGTTTTGCCTGCGTGTATGTCTGTATACCAAGTTTGTGCTTGGTGCCTGGAAAGATGAGAAGAGAGAACTGGGTTCCTCCTGGATAGGAGTAACAGACAGTTACCCAGCTGCCCGTGGGTGCCGAGAGTCTTATCTTGGTCTTTGTGCTCGTCCGTCACTGCTGAGCCAGCCATCTCTCTAAACCCCTATTTCTGACAATTTTCCAGTTGATTTATAAACCTTTCTTGGTATTTTTATTGTTTATTTCATTCAATTTCTCAGCATTTGTATACATTTTGGCTTTCTTAGTTAGGGTCACATTGCTCAGTATTATCTTAAATTTTCCTGAAATTTGATTGTACTGGGTTAATCAATTTTATATTTGATTTACTTCAAAGTATATTTTTATTTATTGGACAGTGATCCAGATAAACACTACTTAATGTATGAACATGAACGGGTGCCCATTGCTGTCTGTGAGAAAGAGCCCAGCTCCATCATTGCTTTTGCACTCAGGTATTATGAGCCTTTCTTGTAGTTACATCTGTGTCTTTTTAAGTCTGTCTGTTAGTTACCTTGTCTGGGGCTCTTTAGATACAAGCAAAAATGTATGTTTGTTAAGCATGAGAGTCTTTTTGTATTTGAAAATCTTTAATACTGGGATAATGCATGGCTTTTAATAAGCAAGTAGTTACTAATGTGACCTGGATAGTATCTATTAAACCTTGAAAGTGCTAACCACTGTCTAATTTATACCTGATAACTCTTACTGTATAGTTGAGTTGTTAATGTAACAGTGAACCCATTTTGCAATATCTGAGTATTACTTTCTTCCTATTTTGCACACATACTGGCTGAAATTTCCTGCCTGGAGAATGCTGTTTCTGCATCTTGTTCCAAAGACACATTTGGATGTTTAGCTTAGTAGTTATCATGATCTTAAAGAAGCATTGCACCTTTAAAATATTTATATCTAATGTCTAAAATCCTCAGCATCTGCTTTATACAGCTATCATGGCAGTGGTGAATTTAGTTTAAAAAGCATATAAAGTTCTTAACTAAAAATTTCCATTGTAAAGTATAAAAAAATATGTATTGATTATAAAGTATCCCATTTATTGAAAAATATTTGATTATAAACAAAATGTGATACATAGATATTGCATATACCAGAGTAAATGGTATGGTTGTATCTGATTCTACCTTCATGAACTTTAGAGTTTACATTAGATAAGAATTATTTTCTTTACAAGAGCCTATGTAGTGATTTTTTTTCCTTTGAGCTTTAGCATTATGAAGATAATACCTACATCTTTCCTTATTGATTAATCACAGTCCATAGATATTAAAGGCACAAAAATATAATCATTCTTTATAGTATTTGGAAGCAAATGTTCTACCAGAGTGTATCTTTCAGTATTTTAGAAAAGTAATGAATTCTAGTATTAGGCTGATAGTCCAAGAATCAGAGTTTTAAAATTTTGGAATGTTATTTATTTATTTATTTTTTAAAAAGGTTTGGCCCCTTCAAATAGAAAAGTCATTTTCAAATTCCTTTCTTTTTTGAGGGTTGTGTAGGGGTTGCTGATGGCCGTTAAACCCAGGTCCTTTAGATGCTAAGCAAGAGCTCTCCCACTGAACTACATCCTACCCCTTAAGCAGTGTTTTTGGATTATTGTTAAGATTATTAGATATGGTTGACGGTGATTTTTAATTCTTTGTGAAGACATTAATCTTTTTCATAAAGCTTGATTTTTTTGTTAATTCCTAATGTATTTGTTTAACTATGGGCACATATAATGATTATGCTTTTATAATGTAAAAGTTATTTTAAAACTTATTATTGTTAAAGAAGAACTTAATGTTTAACATTTTCAACCTATTTCTGCCCTAAGTTGTAAAGAATACCGAAATGCCTTAGAGGAATTGTCCAAAGCAACTCTGTGGAACAGTGCTGAAGAAGGGCTTCCAACCAATAGGTGATTCATGGTTGAGTAAATTCTTTTAAAATTGAGCTATGTCATTGTTCTATATATCTTTACACTTTAGTTTTATGAAAGCATTTATTAGTACAGAATCTCCTAGGATTCACATAATTCACTTCAGCTAACTGTTGGAGCAACAACATTCAAGTCTTGTAAAAGACCTTACACAGCCCTTAGCGCATAATTTCTTACCTTGCTGTGATGTGTTACTGTATAAGAAGTGGCTGTTTTATTAAAAAACCTGGAAAGTTTGTGCTATGGCTTGGCTTTATAATTTTAAGTGTTTGTAAATTTTCTATAGTACTAAAGATCCTAATATTTAGAAAATAAATACTCAAATCAATCTACTTAGCATGCTCTGTGTTTTAGACAGAAATTGGCATAGGCTTATCCTTACTGAAATAAAATCTCTTGTTTTACTGACCTGATAAGATTTAGCTTGAATTGTCTTTGTAACTAAAGTAAGAAAAATGATATTGGTATATTTTGGTTAGTTCTGAGTTTGGGGAAAGTTTATTAAAGTTTCTCCTTTTTTAAAAAAATACACTTTTCTAGTTCTAGTACTTTATTTTTTTTTAAACATAGTAGATGGTTCAAGATGTTTTTGTAACTTGTGTTTTTCAAAATTATGAATCATATTTCTGATATTGAGGGTGGTGTTAGGTATGAAATATAGTAATTTAGGAACTAGAATACTTATTTTTTGTTTTTGTTTTTATCTGAATATCTTCAAATTCTTTTCTTTCTTTCTTTTTCATGGTAGTGCTTTAGATAACAGACCAAAGAGTAGCAGTCCTATTAGATTACCTGAAGTCAGTGGAGGACAGACAAACCGTACAGTAGAAGCAGAACCTCAGCCAAGTAAGACTTAAGGCTTTTATTATATCTACTCATTATTACTTGTTTGTGTGCGTGTATGTTAGCATGACTGTGGAAAGCAGAAGACAACCTGTGGACGTTAGTGTTCTCCCACAGTGTGGGTCTCAGTGATCTTTCCCAGGTTTTCGGGCTAAGAGGCAGGTACCCAGTACCACTGAGCCACCACTGGCCCCACATGCAGACATTTCTACAATTGTATTCATGATTTGTGGAAGAAAATGCCACTTAGTAAGAATTTGTCTTTGAAAAATAAACATTTTAAGATGTTTTGCTTTTTCTTTGAGTCTTCCTTGAAATATACATTCAGTTTACAGAATTTAAAGCTTGTAGAAGCCCTTTGTGAAGAAAGTTTGTCTTTCTTAAGCTTTCTGTTTAAAATACACAACCTAAGAAACAGCAGCAATGTACAGTTTTTAAATTTTATGTTATTGGCATAATGAAAACTTTTTTGGTTTTGCCTTTTAAACTTTACTGTACTCACATAAGATTTATCTGGTGTGTCCATATTTTTAGGAAGGAATCTGAGGTTTAGACTAGTAACTGCCGAAGGCTAGACAGAGAGAGATAGAACTGGGACTTGACAATGACTCTTGTTAACTATCTGCTGATACTCTGGATCAGTAGTCCCAGCAGCTCAACTGACTGTAAAGCTTAACAAATGGCAGTTCACTTTCTATGAACTTTATAAGTGATAAATTATTAGAGTCATACATAATATGCTCAGTAAAACTCAAAACTTTAAACAAAAAAGCAAAAGTATAAATTTTTGCCATCCTATTAAAAAGATTTTATTTTTATTCATGTATATGTCTGTGTATCTGTATGCTGTGTGTGTCTTCTTGGAGGACAGAAGAGGGTGTCAGATCATCTGGAGCTAGAGTTACAGGGAGCTCTCTAGGTGCTGAGGACCAAACAGAGGTCTACTGGAAGAACAATATGTGCTCTGAACTGCTGAGTCATCTCTCCAGCACCTATTTATCTTTAATTATGTGTGTGCCTCTGTGTAGGGGTGTGCTCATTTGAGTCCAGGTGCCCATAAAGTCAGAGGAAAGTGTCCGATTTCTTACAGCTAGAGTTAAGGCAGTTTGAGCTGTGTGATGTGGGTACTGGAACAGAACTCGGGTCCTCACTAGAGCAGTGCAGTGCTCTTAGCAGCGGTGCTGTCTTTCCAGCCCTAGAGGGGCTATAAAAGATATGTTAGAGTATCAACCATAAAAGTACTTAATATCCACGGGTGCACAAGTCTTTGCTAACAGAACAGCAATTTTTATAGGGATAGCCATGTTTAGAGACCCAAAAAGTTGATGATGATTTGTATAAACAGAGAGGTAGCTGGCTCTAAGACTCAGTCCTGACCAGTTCAACTGAAGAGCACAGATGTAACAAAGTGAACATGATACATTATTGTTTTGAAAGATGCTGTAAACAAAATGTTTTCCTTTGTTAAAGTGCAGAACACAGTGATTGGATAACTGGCTCAGGGTTTTAAGAGTGCTGACTGCTGTTCCAGAGAATCTGGGTTTGATTTTTCAGTACCCACATGATGGTTAACAGCCGTCTATAACTTGAAAGTTCCAGGGGGCTCTGGCTTCTTCAGGCACTCATGCACATGGTGTAATTATATGCAGGCAAAATACCAATATGCATAAAATAAGAACAAATCTTAATTCAGAATACCTAGGATACAAAGATCTTTTAACTCTTTTAGCTTATGAAATTGTTTTATGTTAGTTTTTTAACTGCTTCAATATTATGAGAACTTGGTGGTAATTCATTCTACTGCTTAAAATATGACTGCTTTTAAAAGGATTTTGAATGACTTTCTGGAGAATTTAACATGTTGAACTTCAGTCTTGTTTCTGATGAGGGCAAATGGGGGAAAGGATTTACAAACAGCAGCAGCATGGGAAATTGCAATTTGTAAATGAGAGTATCTCTGTATAATACAGACTCAGTAACATCACACAATGGTTGTTGCCAACAAAAGGTTGAAAACTTGCAGTTTTCAGTTTTAGTGACCTGTTCTTACATTAATGTGGTACCTTCTATTTTTAAGCCAAAAAAGCTTCAGGAATGTTGTCCTTCTTCAGAGGAACAGCAGGCAAGAGCCCTGATCTGTCTTCTCAGAAGAGAGAGACCTTACGTGGGGCAGACAGTGCGTACTACCAGGTTGGGCAAAGTGGCAAGGAGGGGATGGAGAATCAAGGCCTGGAGCCTCAAGGTGTGTTGTCAACCATATGTGCTTATTTTAAGCTTTAATTTATTTTCTTTAGCTTTGTGTATTTTTAATAGGTTTAAGTAAATAATTCTTTGCTGAAGCTAGGGCATTCTCTCCATTTTAACTCTTTAGTGTAATAGACCAGAAACAGCATGATACTTGGAATCTGTCTGGGTTCAAATATCTGCACTGTTGTATTTAATGTGTTACAATCAGAAAGCCTCACTCTCCGTATCTATAAAGAAACAAAAGCATTGTCTTTTAAGGGCTAAATGGCATTTCTATATATGTAAGCATAATTCAAAATATGTACTCAACTTTTCAATACCCTATTACCCCCTCTAGATGTTTTCTTCTTTTTCAGTCACTGTAAGATTGTGATTATTTATTTCATTTTGATCTTTAAAAACTATGTTTACCTAATTATGTTTAGATTTGGTAAATTTGACCAACTCTGCTACCTGATTAAAAATAAAATTTTATCAGAATAAGGCCATGTGAATTTATTTCCTGTTGTCTGACTGCTTCACATTAAGTTGAGAAGTTGTAGCTTAGTGAAGTATCTACTGTTTGACTCTTTAGAGGAATTGTTTGGTGACTTGTAACGTAGATCATGGAAGAGAAGTTTAAAAAAATAGCAATTGCACTTCCTTTTTCATGTTGGGATTTTGTCTGGTTTGAAAAGCTATACTCTTTACCAAGAATCTGTTAGCAATTGATTCCTGCTGGGAAAGGAAAATCAGTTCTTTCCAGTAGAATGTCATTGAGTTATCAACAACGTTCCAGGGCAGGCCTTGTGCCCAGGAATAGTTGGCCAACATAAAATAGACTCTGCTTTTTGCCTTCTTGGTATGTGTGCATGTTTTGTTTTAGATTTTGGTCTTGATTTTCATGTTTTGTTTTTGGTCTTTTTTTTTTTTTCTTTTTGAGAAAGAAGGAAAGGACACAAAAGCATGAAGTTAGGTGGGAAGAGAGTTGGGGAGGATCTTGCAGGAATTGAGGGAGGGGAAAGAATATGATCAACATACATTGTATATAAAAAAAAATCAAAGCTGCAGATTGGTTTGGTGGTGTACAACTAGAATCTTAGCACTCAGGAGGCTGAGGCAGGAAGATTGTGAGTTCATGGCTAGTTTAGGTCGTATGGTAACACTTTGCTTCAAAACAAAGCAAAACAACAAAAATGATAGCACCTGAAATTTTTTTTTACTGTTAATTAAAGTATTTGTTTAGTATCTGTATGTTCCCATTGGACTATAGGTATTAACAGTGTGTCCCTTGAGGGATAGGATATGAAGGGGTATGATGCTTAACAAGTGATTGTGAAATGTGAAACTTAGGGGTGGTTTGTTCTCTACATATTAGGATGCCTACTAAAACTGTAGTATATTAAAAAAGCATTTTTTATATGTGTACCTGGAAAAAAGTATCATAAATATGGATAGAGAAGCCATGGGGATTCTTGGTGTAAAAGCTGAGTTTTCTGTATTGCTGTCACAGAAGTCACTTGCATGTAAGAAAAATGATCCAGCCTGAAATATTGAAATCCCAGGAAAGAACATAAATTTTTTTTTTTTACTGTAGTCATTTGCACAATTTGTCTGTCTAATGTGTGCTTTATAATAATTTGATTAGGATATTTTTATTACTGATTTGCTAACTTTTGTTGCTATATTGGGAAAAAAGACAAAATGAACTTATAACTAATGCTTTTACTATATACTAAACTTTTAGATGAAGTAGATGGAGGAGATACACAGAAGAAACAACTCACAAACCCTCATGTGGAACTTCGTAAGTATGCAATAACATTTGTCTAAGGATAAGGACTATAAGTAACTTCTTTCTAGATAAACATGCTGTTTTTTTTTTTTAATGAGTGTTAGGTGTTGTTTGAGTTTTATTTAATCTATAATTCAATATATAGAACTTGTATTATGTATTATTTTACCATTTAAATTATAATTTATTAAAAATTATATTTTAATTTTAAAAATTTAAATGTTTTCTTCCTATGTAATTGAGAGACACAGAGCTTGGCAAGCGGCATTAAGATGTTTATTTAGGGCTGAGGATGAAGTGCTCACCTGCCAAGCAGTTTTGACCCTGGGCTCAATCTTTGCTACCATATACTCATAAAAGACAATGTTTTAAGAACTGCTTTAAAGTATAATGGAGAAAATACAGTGGCCAGTGTTGAAGTAGAACCGAGTTTTATATTGAGGTCTTTGAAGATGAGTAAGAATGGTTAGATGTATACCCTGATACTGTAAAGCTCACCGTAACACAGTTGAGATAGACCAGGACTTTTACTTCATTAGGAAAGATGTTATTACCAAGAATCCTTAAAGGGTTGTGTTTGGTGCTTGGAGAGGGAAGAAAAGATTTTCTGCTTTATGTACCTTTTTCTCATCCTCTTCTTCTCCCTTCTTCTCTTTCTCTTCTTCTTCCTCCTCCTCCTTTTTCATGTCTTTGTAGAATTTTCTGATGCTAATGCCAAGTTTTACTGTCGGCTGTACTACGCGGGAGAGTTCCATAAGATGCGTGAAGTGATTCTGGGCAGCAGTGAGGAAGATTTTATTCGTTCCCTTTCTCACTCATCACCCTGGCAGGCCCGGGGAGGCAAGTCAGGGGCTGCTTTCTATGCCACTGAAGGTAATTCTTTTTACTCACTAGTGCAGAACACTTGTCCTTTGCCTTGAGACAATTCACGAAACACTTGAAGTGGCATTATGTATTAGCTATTGGCAAATAAAGTTTTCTAGTTTCTTTCTGTTCTAAGAAGAGTAATAAAATCTTAAAAGACTATATACAAGCTTAGACATTGGTCAGATACTTCGTGAAACTCTTTCTAGTTCTGAGTTTTCCAAATGCATGTAGAAACTATATTAGTTACTTTCATATCTCTGTGATCAAAATACCTGACAGAGATAGCTTAAGTGGGACTAGATTTATTTCGGCTCATGTTTCAGCCCCTCAATGGTTGGCAGCCTGAGCATGTTCTGGTAGGTGGCCATTCATATCATGACAAACAGGAAGCAATGAGACTGGAGTGGGCTGAGTATAATCTTTCTCTGTTCAGCAGCTGCCACCCACTTCCATACCTTCCCACAATAATATCACCAGACTGAACAAGCTTGAGAGCATGGGCCTGTGGGGGACATTTCAGATTTAAACCATGGGAGACATCTTATAGGAGACTCAATTGGGTGCCACAGAACTGATGAGAGAAAGGTAACAGTAGAAATGTTTGGCCAGAATAGAGAAAGACCAACTTCTTTTCTACACAGGCTTAGCTACTAGTACAGTGTGACTTCAAGAGTCATTGAAATGGAGTTATAACATTTTCTTTGAGAGTTATAAAAAGTAAATGAATGAATTTGTGCAATGAATTTAGATTTGAGGGTAGATTTGAGAAGTAGGTGTTTTTGTTTATGTACCCTCAGGGCTTCTAGCATTACCACTTGAGAATTGCTTTCTGATCAAAGTTTTCACTGTGTGGTTTAAAAGAATACCTCAAAGCAGAAAATAAACAATTTGGAGTTTCTGGAATGATTTCACTTTCATTTTAACAACAGTAATGTGGAATTTCTTCCTTTTAGATGATAGATTCATTCTGAAGCAAATGCCTCGTCTGGAAGTCCAGTCTTTCCTTGACTTTGCACCACATTACTTCAGTTATATCACAAATGCTGTCCAACAAAAGGTAGAAATCCTAAATCGTGGTGTGTAGTCACAATGCGCTGGGCTTTTTATATCCTCAGTTTGTCCTGATAGAACTTGTACCTGGTAAGAGCAAGTCGCATGGGTCCGGGCTCTCTCTTACTCTATTGGGATGTGATGGAGTGCACAGTTTTTAGAAAATTTTCTTACCTCTGCCATTGAGGGATCATATAACCTCAAGCAATTAGCTTTTGATTGGTATACACATACCTATATGTATAAATAGTATATACACACACACACACACACATACACACACACACACATATATATATTGAGACCAGATGAAATTAGATACCCATTTAATAACATTTTTGTTGAGACAAAAATATGAACTTGCTGAACTAGAAAAGAAACCAATGAGTAACTCATGTTAGTCCACTTGTCATTGAGCCATGAATGTAGGTTTTTTTTTAAATTGTTGTCAAGTAATAATTTATTACAGATTATTTGGTGGAAATGTCCATATGACAATAAAGTTTTTGAATCTGAACAGCTGTGAAGGGCTATTGTACTGTAGAATTTAAGGACCTACTATTGTTACTGACATTGAAGAGTTTCAAAGGCCTATTCCTGGTACATCAACAGAAAATCATTCCTGGGTATTACATGGAAAAATCAGGTATTATATGACTTACAGATAATCTTATTTTGGTAATAGTTTATTTTGATCTTTTCTTGATTAGAGGCCCACTGCCTTGGCTAAAATTCTTGGCGTTTACAGAATTGGGTATAAGAACTCTCAGAACAACACTGAGAAGAAGTTAGATCTCCTTGTCATGGAAAATCTTTTCTATGGGAGGAAGATGGCACAGGTGAGAAACCTGGACTTTGTGAGGCATTTGGCTGTGAGAACTTTTTTGTCCTTTGATTCTTGAATGTAGTAAATCTGAGGAACGTGTTAATCAGGATATTTAACTTATTTTTGGAAAAAAGAAAAATTGGTATGTGACTCATCTTAAAATTGAACATATCCAATGTTCTAGAATCAGGTTGTTGGTGGTCTAAGAAGGGTGATGTTCTTTAAAATTGAGTTAGCTGAGACCTGTAGAGATTACAACCTGTCAGTCACTTGTCTGTATTTAGCTTCCATGTTGGTCTAGATATTGTGAGGATGGCGTTGCTACCCACTGTAGATAACAAGGCATCTAGTCCAAACGTTAAACAGTGCTTTTTGAAGTGCCTCTCCAACTGTTTCTGCCATGAAAACATAATCCTTGTGGTTACATCTAATTCAATGTAGTAGTTTGTCACTGAGAATGTCTTTGTATGAGAGCACTGGCTGAGCTACACTGTGTGCTTAATGCCTTTACATTCTGCCAGTAGCTGTAACATTTTCATGAACTAGGACTAGCTGGCTAGCACTGGTTTGAGGATGGGCTGGTCCTGGTCATCAAGCTTTTTGACATTTCTTACCCTCCAGATAGTCTGAAATTTATGTTCTCACTTTATATTGCCTTAAGTGATTGTATAGAGTTTTTGTATTTTAAGTTTCCTAAGATTATTTGTGTTTTCTTTCATACTGTTGGATGATCCAATGATATATTTTAAAATTGGTTAAATTTGACAAATTACTTCTGAACTGTTTTAATAACTGAGTACCTGTATATTATTTTATATGATACTATTATGTTATCATGAATTTAATGTATCATATACCATGTATTTTATGGTTATATAATTATATTGTTATATATTTATGATTTAAATTAGAAAAGTTACATTTTGAAATAAAATTTAAAAATACATGTTATGTCAGTAACTACAAGGAATCTTTTTGCCTTCTAATAGTACCAATTAACCATTGTGGCAAGTTTGCACAAATAATAAAGAATTTTTGTTTTGCTAGGTTTTTGATTTGAAGGGTTCACTTAGGAATCGAAATGTAAAAACTGACACTGGGAAAGAGAGCTGTGATGTGGTTCTGCTGGATGAAAACCTCCTAAAGATGGTTCGAGACAACCCTCTATATATTCGTTCCCATTCCAAATCTGTGCTGAGAACATCCATTCATAGCGACGCCCATTTCCTTTCCAGCCACCTAATTATAGACTATTCTTTGCTTGTTGGTCGAGATGACACTAGCAATGAGCTAGTAGTTGGCATCATAGGTAAGTCAATAACTGTGCCCTGTTTACAGCTCAAGATTAAAACTAGAGTAGAATTTCAAAGATTCTGTTCAATTGGTTTAATATAATCACTGAATATTTTTGGAGTCTTTCGTTTGTAATTTCAAGATAACAAGTTTTCATTCTATTCTTTTTATTTTCTTCTTTTATAAAAATATATCAATTAAAAGGTAATGATAATTACTTTAAAAAGAGACACTGTGTCACGGTTCTGAGAATTAAACAGTAATGAGGGGACAGCCTTGGAGCAACACTGTAAAGATGCTGTTATGACTAGTAATAGGCTTTGCTACTGTTCTGGCTTAGGCTTACAACAGCGTTTCTGTTCATGCTCCTTTCCTTCTATCTCTAGATTACATTCGAACATTTACATGGGACAAAAAACTTGAGATGGTTGTAAAGTCAACAGGAATTTTAGGAGGACAAGGTGAGAAGATGTTGGTTTGTTTATTTTTAACACTGTTCTTATATGTTTCTTGAATATTTAAGACCCTAAAGTGTGGTAGCCAGGCATGGTGGGCATTGTATTCCCAGTGCTTAGAAGTCTAAGGTAGGAGGACCATGAACTCAAGGCTAGCTTATGTACTAAGACCCCTCTCTATATACACAATGCAAAACAAACCCAATGTGACTGTCTCTGATTTTGCCATTTCTAAAATGACTTTAATATAAAGAAATATATAAGCGGGGAAATACTGGATTTAAATGCTAGAGGTTTTCAAAATAAGTTTTTAAAAAGCCAGAGATTTTGAATAATAGATTGTCTTTAATTAACACTTGATATCTTCTAGATTCTCTAGCTCATTTCTAAATTTAGATATCCCTTACTTCAAGAGAACTCATCTCCAAAAAGACTCTGCCTCCTTTCAGAGTGCTTTGGCTCACAGCAGTTTATGTTTGGTTAAGTCAGTTGCCCAATTGAATTAAAACAGCTTTATTCTTCCTCTCTTTTGTCTTTTACTATCTTAGGTAAAATGCCAACTGTGGTCTCTCCAGAGTTGTATAGGACTAGATTTTGTGAAGCAATGGACAAATATTTCTTGATGGTGCCAGACCACTGGACAGGGTTGGATCTGAATTGCTGAAATCACAAATGATTTGAAAACGACTGTGAATGAAAGTGGATCTGAAGAAGAAACCCAAACTATATAACATTTTATGTCTTTGACATATATACCACTGAACACAAAGATCTTTCAGTTCTGTGATTGTCTATACATCAGCTTTAGACTGTCCATGATTGCAGGGGAGAAGCCCCATCCATGGATTGTACTTTGCTTCTGATATTTGCTCTTATCTGCCTGTAAAATGGGAAATTGTACAAAGTTAAATACAATGTTCTTTTCAAATGGCTGTGATTAGGGATGAGTGTTTAGACAGAGTAAGATATTAAATTGTCATATTTACTAATTCGATTGCTTGAAGAAGAAAGCACTGTCTAGTAGACTGACTGGTAGACTGTGACTGTCTGTCTGGTAGACTGTGACTGTCTGATAGACTGTGACTATCTGTCTGATAGACTGTGACTGTCTGTCTGGTAGACTGTGACTGTCTGTCTGATAGACTGTGACTGTCTGGTAGACTGTGACTGTCTGTCTGGTAGACTGTGACTGTCTGTCTGGTAGACTGTGACTGTCCGGTAGACTGTGACTGTCTGGTAGACTGTGACTGTCTGTCTGGTAGACTGTGACTGTCTGGTAGACTGTGACTCTCTGGTATCACATTTGTTACTTTTTTCCTGGGAAGACACTTGCAGACCTTCTTGGTTTGGTATATGTTTCCTGTGTAGTGACTTTATATTTGTTCTTATAATATCTGAAACATTTAGGAAATAATCTGATTTATTCCATTAATGGCCAGTTAAACAGATTGTTGCTTGCTTTATTAGGGATTTGACTTAAATTAGGAATCCTGCCATATTCTGTATTCTCCAGGTGACCTTGTTTTGCTGTGTTTGATGCTTTCACATTCTATGCAGGTGACAAGAGCCTACAGTGCTTAGCTTGAAAGCCTTTCTTAGAGCATTTTAAGGAGCTTGTTTAAAACATTTGTGTAACGTGCCAGACAGAACTTAATCTGCATGTGTGTTCATAGTCTAGATTTCCCTCTCATTTTAGGGAAACAAAATAAGCAGGTCTGTAGTCAGTGAATCCCTAAGTGAATAATAGTAAGTCTAGTCAGTGAATCCCTAAGTAAAGCATTAGTAATGAAGGATTCTTTTTAATGGCAAAGAGAAACTGAGTGAGAATCAACAATGTGGGGTTTTGTTTGTTTTTGTATATATATCTAGCAGTTAGATGAGGTTTGTAACATTTAAAAGTTTTCAGTATGGATATTCTCATTTTTGAGTTTACACCACACTGACCAGTGCTGCTGAGAAATGCTGAGAGGTAAAGTTACTCCTACTTAAGGAGTAGTTTACTACTCAGCAATCTCACCTAAAACATGACCGGAAATCCTGAACTGTGAGGAAATGCTTTTAACCCAAAATATATGAGTGTTTCTCTTGGCTTTTCTGTAACAAGAACATTTGGATGTTTACAAAGTTGTAAGGGTTCCATATTTTTCAGACTTCATCTAATAGCACATTAATATTCACAAAGGGCTGGATGGAGCCTGCTACAGACAGACGATAGTCTGCACCTGAGTCAGCACAGTGTGGCAGGTTTGCTGCAGACAGTGATGCAGTGGCTGGCTATTGGTTACCTGTAGAGTGTGTGGCTAAGCAAGGGTTATGTCTGCCTGTCTGCCTGATATTAGGCCTCGGCCTCTTCAGTCTTCCACCTGTGCCTTGGAAAGATGGACCAAACACCGAAGAGTCCAGCTCTGATGTTAAAGATCAGTAAAGCAGTGTACAGACTCGAAGCTTGTGTGGAACACACTTTCTTTGCCTCCAGGGACAAAAGCTTTTGTGTCTGGTTTGAAATGCCCACTCTGTTTAACCTCTGTTCATTTTTCTGTGTGATTGATTAGGCTAAAGGACCCCCTCGCTTTCGTGGGACTAAAGAGATGCCTTGCCTAGCTGGGATTGTGTTGTCTCTGTTTCTTTCTTTGGTTTCAGTACAGCAAGTAGCTGAGCTGAGCTTCAGGGGAGTAACTCCTGTCAGTAACATAGCATATCCATCTTCTTCTCTTGTCCCTGATTGAAAAGCAACTTTGCTTTGTGGTCGTGTGCTGAGAATTGAACCCATGACCTTTGGTAGATCAGGCGGTGCTGTTAACCACTATCTCCCCAGCATACAAATTTGCTTTTTAAAGTATTGTTTAAAGTAAATAAATATTGAGGTATTTTAGTGACTAAAGTTTCTGAAGCAAGAGTTACTGCTTTGAAAGCTTGATTTGTTCTTTTAAAATTAATGTCTGGCTGTTGTTAATGAAGGGGAAACTCATAATTGAAATGTTTTACGTGATACAAATATGTGACTTCTGGCTGTTTGTGTTTAGCAACTGCTGTGTATATGTGTGTGTGTGTGTGTGTGTATGTATGTGTGTGTGTGTGTGTGTGTGAATTACAAAAAAAAAAAAAAAAAAAAAAAAAAAATGTATATATATATATATATATATATATATATATATTGTTCTGAGTGCTTTGAATTGAATGGCTGTTGTCCTCCTTGACGCCCTTTCATGACATAGAGAATATTAATGCCGAAAAGTTGTAAATAAGAACTCTCATGCTCAAAATATAATATGAATTCCAAAGTAACTATAGTAACATGAGAAAATTATGCCAACATGTTGCTGTGTATAAAAATCTTGTTTATAAATATGAAGCTTTTTGATGACATAAAATTTTGTTTAAAGAATAGAATTTGAATTTTTCCTGTCTGCCAGAGTAAAGAAAGCAGAAATAAGCTGGATAGCCCTTTTGTAGTTTATTCAGTACTTATGGATCCTCAAGATTTCCTATGAAAGGACTGAGCAGGGATTTTCTAGCTTTGACATCTGTGTAAATAATGGGGTCATTCATATCAGCATTGGCTTGAGGTGGCTTTATGGTGGATGGTTTCTTGGTACTTTAGCCGTTAGCAGTGGGCTTCTGTGGAAGTGCCAAGGTAGTCTGCCTGTGGCAAGTCAGCCGAATTTCAAGTGTGAAAACTGTTGTGAGCCTGGTGCTGAGTCTTACCAGGACACTCAGTCTCCAAAGTGACTTATGCAGTATTCAAACCATCTAGTGCAATGCCTTTTTTTGATGGCTTTTGTAATGGGTATAGTGTATTACAGAAAAAAAAAAAAAGGAAACTACAATCACAAGCAGTTTTGTTTAATGCTTCTTTGTCAGTTTTGTAAAAGAAAATGTACATAATGTCTTTCAATAGGTTTTAAACTAGAGGAAATAACATTGTATATCACAGTAGCCTCCTAATTTAAATAGGAAAAACTCAATAGTAAAATTACTTACTGTATTATAGTGTATATATTTCTCTAACTTTGTTTCCAGCTGTTTTATATGATTGACATGTTATTTAAAAGGTAACTACCGTCGGCTTCTTAGAGACTTGTACTGTAAATAAAGAGGACCTGCAATAAACTGGAATTTACTTACTCTTCTGGATTTCGGATCTGTTTAAGTGAGAGAAGTTGAACTCACTCTGTCAACCAGGCTGGCTTCAAACTCTCAGAGAGCCGCCTTCCTCTTAGATCCAGAGTTCTGGGATTAAAGGCATGTGCCACCATCACCTGGCCCTCAGTCTTGCACGACCAGTAATGGCCATGGCTGTGTGGGCCTTCCAATGTTCAGTTTTAAAAAGCATTTATAAAGCATTCAGGGAAGTGAACCCCTTTTCTGTACAGACTCCGCAAATTGTATTGGTAGATGGGACTCCATTGTTCATTATTTTCTCCCATCAACTCGAAGGCAAATACTGCACTGGCTGAAGCTGAAACCATCTTAGTGGTACTCATGGTTGTGGTCTCTAGGAGGCCACGAGGCCCACTTTTACTTAGATTCATGAGGCCAGAGCTGAGAGAGAGTGGCTAGGTAGAAAGGTTCACACTGAGTGTGCCCCGGAGATGGCTATGGCCAGGCTTTGTGGGGAAGTAGGATGGTCACAGACCTAAAGTATGGGCACCTTTGCTCTTGTAGGATGGAAGAAGTAAATGGTAGGAAGAGACACCGTAGGTTCTCCAGTCTTCAATAACCTAATGTCTTTTGTGCTAGAAGTTATAAAATTCCTGGGTCAATGCTTAAGGAAATTAAGGAATTTTTAATTTTAGCAATGGTATGCTATAGTAAGATACTGTTTCACACATATTTCTCAAGGTTCATTTACGTTATTACAAGTGTTACCAGCTTAATATGAGATACATCCTCTACTCAAAATAACATATTGAATGGAGTTTTGGAGCTGGTAGATGAAATAGGTATTTGTTCTGTCCACTTCACACACTGGTTGGATGTTATCACAACTGTTGGGCCCTATTTGTGGGACATGGAGTTGACTTTGTAGCTAATGCCGTGGGGATTTTGTTTTTGGTGTTGGGAACATATCTGTTTGCAAAGTGATATAATTGGTAAGTACTGAAAGTTAAGGTTTCCAGCAGTTGAAGACAAAATATATTGATCAATCAGTTCTGCAGTCTTGTTCTCTTTGTTTCTATAGTGTCTTTTATTGGGAATTTCATAATATGCATTGATCAAATCTACTCCTTTTCCCCCTCTACTTCAATCTTTCCCCATTCCTCTCCCTACATCTTTCTTCCCAGGTTCATGTGTTCTGTTTTTAAACCTACTAAATCTACTCAGTGCTGCCTGCATGGGTCTGAGATCATCAGCTGTAGTACAAGTAGCCTCTCATAGCCCAGCTGGCTCGCTGAGGAAGACAGAGTCTCCCTCTCTCAGCAGGCTGCTGCAGTCTGTTTTGAACTTATTTTTGACAGAATATTTAGATCTTTGACTCAAGAATACCTCAGCTCTATAAGGAAGGTTGCTTCGGCCAGAGAACCTTTTCCAACTAGCAAAGAGTGAAGAGGAAATTCTCCTTAGGCCAGTTAAGGCCTCCTATGATATGAAATACAAGTGTGTGCCAGCAGAGATAGCTCAGGGGTAATAATGCTTGCTGCCAAACTTGAAAGACCTGAATTCCAACACATGTGCACACACACACACACACACACACACGCACACCCCATAGTGGAAGAAGAGGACCCCACTCTTGCAGGATTTCTGCTAATCTCCTCATTGTGTGCATGCTTAGAAAAGAACTCTGAACTGAACTTGTAGGAATTATGTAGCCACTTCTAAACATCCAGATACCCCAAATAGGCCACTCCCTCCTTTCCTGATTACGAGCTTCTATCTTATGCCAATTCGAAGACCCTAGAGCACTGAAACACAAGTTGGAAGAGGAAAAGTTCTTTTCCCAATATGACCAGCCTGATAAGTCTATTTGGATAAAACTGTAAGAATT